TAATTTGGTGCTTTGAACCCCCAGTCTCCAGGCAGGCCACAGTTTGGCTCAGGGAGGAGGTGGGAGACTGAAGAACTGGGTGCTGGGTCGTAGCAGAGAGCAGACAGCATTGCAGAGAATGTAATGAGGAGACCCTGTGTAGAGAGTGAACAGGTCTATGTGATGATGGGGCTAGCAGTGATGCAGAGTCCTGTCCACCCCCAGGTCTGCAGGGCAAGGGAGTGTGCTCTCACTGGGGCACAACCCACACTGCTATCCTGAGAAAGGGCCCCCCTGGCACAGCAATCTGGGCCTGCCTGACCCCTTCCTGTGTTTCCCCGCCAGAAGGTGCCTTAGACTAGTGGCAAGCTTTTGGCCTCAGTGGCCCTGCTTTGGGCCAAGCTTGTTGGCTGGATATTTGCCCACGAGGGGATGGTAATTTTTGGAGTGTTATTAGGAAAAATCCATTCTTTTTCTTTCTCTGGACACCAATTGTATTAAAAATCTTTTACACTAAGAGTTTTTCTTTTGCCTTTGTGCACATGGATGACCAGACTCCTTTTTAAGCATGCACCCCTTAACAGTTTGGGGTCCCTGGGTACCCCATGGTCATGTGCTAAGAGTGCTGAAGTCTCTCTCCTCCTTCCCTGACACTCTCCAGGACTGTGACCTGAACCACCAGGCCCTGACCAGGGACAGATTGGAAACTGACCCCCAAGACACACACTAATCCTCTCACTATGCAGCCTGTCTCCTTTCCACCCAGAGCTTTGGAAATTTTATTTTCTCCATAACGCCTCCCCCATCCTCATCCCTCCCAAACCCAGGGGAGGTTTGGGAAGAAGGGGTACAGAAAGGCTTCATGAGCTGCCTGATGAAAGAAGGTGGAGGGGAAGAGCTCCAGTCCAAGAAGAAGAGAAATAGAGAGGAACAAATATTTCTGAGGCCTGTTATGTACCAGACACCACAGGGGCGCTTTCTTATCCATTGCTTGCTCCCCGACACTCCGCCAAACATCGCTGAGGGTGATATCGGGTTTTTCCGTTTCAGGGTTGGGGAAACTAAGGCTCAGAAATCTATGCGACTTTTCAAATATTGCAGAGCAAATAAGTGGTAGAATTAGAATACAGACTGCTGAGTTCAGGAAAGATAAATGACATAAAAAATTAGTCTAAAAATGTATGGAAAGGTTGGCATGTAGGCAAAGGCTGAACAGGGACCTAACTCCAGCACTGGCAGGGTCAGGAGGCTGGTTCAGTGGCTGTGCAGAGAGTTTGCATGAGTTTGGCACTTTGAGAGAACATGCTGGTTGGGGATGTGTGCAGGGTGTATCCCTAGCTCCTCACAGGCGCCATGACTGGGGTGGGAAGTATCCAGTCTAGTTGCCTTTCCTCCCCCAGGCTTTGGGCTGCTGGGTCTCGGAGGGGTTGATTTTGTACTCAATCTTAGCCAAAAGGCTGAGAAGCAATCTGGAGGGGTTGATTTTGAAATTGGAGTATGGAAGGTTGAGAATCTTGGGCAAAGACTCTAGGGGTGGTCTGGGAAGGCCTTTGGGAGGGGGTGGCTATCTCTTTGGCCTCAGGGAACAATTTTAACTGGAGATGAACTTTCCAAAAAAGAGCAAAGGTGAGGCAGGAAATACAGGATCCATTCTGGTGCATGGCAGTGGGGAGGGGCAGGAGAGAAGACCTGTGGGTGGGGGCGTGAATCAGTGGACTGGCTGGGAGGCCCTGGGTCCAACACTGTGTGTGGCTTGGGGAGGAGGGCGGAGGGGGTTGGTCACTGGAGCTGACTTCAGAGCAGTGCTGTCAAGGCCTGGAGCCCAGGGGTGGGGATCTGGTGAGGTAAGGGCCTAGGGGAATTGGGGAGGGGAAGCCTCTACATTGCTATTGCCCCAGACTGAGGGGTCCTCTGCTCCCACTGAGTCAAGTCTTTCTCTGGCCTGGCTCCTAAAATGAGTGGATACCCCTCCCAAAGTCATCAGAACTCTGTGTGTGTGTGTGTGTGTGTGTGTGTGAGAGAGAGAGAGAGAGAGAGAGAGAGAGAGAGAGAAAGAAGAGAGAGAGAGAGAATGTTCTTAGAATCCACATCCTCAAGATGGCCCAGAAGATGGGTGGGGCTGGACATTGACCGCCCTGAAATGTCAGAACAATCCAGACAAAAGGTGGGGGAGTAAAAGTAGTAAGATTCAGACTCCCTGGAGCCAGTCTTTTCTTTCACAGATGTGTTGTTGAGACCACACCAGGCTCAGAGGGAGCTTTCCTGGGACTTATCTGCCCACCAGAGGGCGGCAGCAACTCTCACGCCTACCTGCCAGGAGGGGTCGCCATCTTTCATGTTAACATCCAAGAAAATCTCATTTCCCCCATTTTACAACAGCATAAAGTAGAGGGGCAGGAGGAAAGGGGGTGTTTAAGTCAGGTTAAGGGGGTCTGTTGCATGGTAGAGGATCATAATGCAGCATATACAGATGTTGAAACACAAACTGTATGCCTGAAACTTATATAATGTTATAAACCAATGTTCTTTCAATAAAACTTTTTAAAAAGGGGGCAAAATGGTCAAGTATAGAGGTCCTCAAGTCAAATTGCCTGAATTTAATTGCCAGATTTGCTTCTATAAAACAAAAACAAGCATGCACACACACACACAATCTTTAAAAATAAAAGCTCCCTTTTCACAGTTGGTGGGAAAAATAAATGACTTAGCACAAGTAAAGGATTTTAAACCATGCCAGATACATAATAAGTACCCAAGAGATACTAGGAAACACTAATAATAACAATACTAGTACTACTATTACTACTACAAGACACCACTGCTTTAAAGGGGACCACCATGGGATGCTGAGTCTGATCTTGCCCCAGCTACGCTGAAGCCACAAAGCTGAAGAACCATAGGGCAAGGAAGCTGCAGGCAGCACCTGGGGGAGGGGTCTGCCTGCCCCTGCATGCTGAGGGGACAGCAGTGGCTGTTCTCTGAGTTTGCACATCTCCTCATGCATGCACTTCCTGGTCTCCACCTGGAGGTTCCCTGTGACTCATGGGGGCCCAGATCCTGCATCCTGGCCAGAAGGTAGATGGTATCAGCCCAGGAGCCCCGAGGGGCAGGACTCAGTGCTGCGTCACTTCACAGCTTACTCAGCCTGGCCGGCCCAGCCCCAAGAGGCGTCAGCAGAGGCACTGGCTGCACAGGTTGGCCTCCAGCTCTATCTGCCAGCCTGGCTGGGGATCCAGAGTGAGAGGCACTTGGCACTTCTTCTGCCCTAAGGCAAACTCTCTGGTACATTAATCCTAGGCCACCAGCCCCATTCTCTTCTCCATTTCACAGAGGAGAAACCCATGCAAAGAAATCCCAGGTGATGTGACTGGGGTCATAGCCACGGCAGCCATAACGTGGCATCTCAGCAGCCATGTTATGTGGCTCTCAGGGGCCCCTCTCCCTCCTCAAGGCCTTGGTGGCCTGGTCAAGGTTGTCAAGTGAATGAAAGGGTTGGTTTCTTGCCCACATGCCACAGAACAGCTTTCTCAGGCTGCCCCAAGCACTGTATCACTCCTGCTTCCCCTCTCTCTTGTCTGAGGGAAAGACCGGCTCTCCGTTGCGCTTTGTTTTCTGTCCTGTTATCTGATTTTCTGTTATTGGGATGTTCCTAGATCCAATGTTTTCAGGTGGTTCCCAACATGGCTCCTTAACCATTCCCCCCGCCCTACCCCTCACCCCATCATTATTCACCTATGGTCCCACTCCAGCACCCAACTCCACGGCTGGATTTGTACTTCAGAGCTCCAGCACATGTTCTCATTGGCTGTGGAGCAGACATCTGGAAAGAACTGGCCAATCAGAAGCCTTTCTCTGAGCCACCCCCACCCACTGGGGCAAGCATTTCTGGGCATGAGTTGGGGTGTGCAAGGGGTGAAGGCTGGAGAGGGATTCTATCCAGAGAGGCCAGGCAAGCAGTGGAAGGGGTCCAAGATGAGAATGGATCCGGGACCATCGGGGCCTCTTCCTTTTTTCCAACTTTGAAATGCTGGGTTCCCTTTCTGGAGTGTTCAATGCAAAGGATGCCACTTCCAGATCTCCAGCGATCTCTTTCTCACCTCCATTTACCTCTGCCCAACCTGTGGTACTTAGGAAGTGGGCACAGGCCCTGTTTGCTTGAGGGTGTTTGTTTCTCGGTCTGGCCTTGGTTGGTTTAGGGCCAGGTCAGATGGCGCAAATGGGATGGTGTAACAGCCCTTCCTCCTCTTTTGGCCAAAAGACTGTCCCTGACCCAGGTCTAGGACAGCCTAGAGGCTGAGGGGTTTGTCCACAGGAGGGACCACCCAGGTCCCTGGGTCCCTGTAGGGGGAAACAGTCACAGATGCTCACTCAGGCTAAGAACCCAGCTGCTCCTGGTAACCCCCAGTTCCTGGCTGGTACTCACAGGGGCTCCCAGCGGGGCTAGGGGCCCTGGGTATGTGTATGTATGTGGTGGGGATCACAGGATTATAGGCTGCCTTAGTAGCAACCCTGAGTGAGTACAGAAATGCTTAGGGTGAGATGATTTACAAACAGTAGTGACTTCTGCCAACCCTATTTGGCATTGCAAACCAAGAATGCAGCCTTCAAGTGCAGTGGGGCAGAATGACACGGGAGAAATCTACCGGACTATTGGCATTTCTGAGTTATGGGTGAGTGATAGAGCAAGGATTCACAGCCATTCCCACACCAGACACATGCTGGCCACATCAGCCTGAGAGTTATCAGCAGATTTTGGTCTTGGAGGGTTTTAGGAAATAGGGGGCCCACACTTGAGTCTTCAGTCCATTCCCTCTACTAATCCTGGGCAAACTCACCTAGGGAGGGGCTGGTTTCTCTCTGTGTATCGCCTATCTCAGATGCTGCTTTTATCTGTGTGTGTGTGTGTGTGTGTGTGTGTGTGCGTGTGTGTGTGTATGTGTGTGAATCAGAATTTGGTTGTGAGTGATTAAAAGAACAGACATAGTATTTTAAATAAGATTGATGTTTATTTCTCCCACACATTAATGAAATTTGGTATTATTTAGTCCAACTTTGTTATGGTGGCTCTGCAAATATCAGATATCCAGGCTCTTTCTAATTGTATCACCAATCTCAAACATGGCTTGTACCTCATGGTACAACATGGCTGCCAGAGCTCCAGCCACCGTATCAGCATTGCAGCCAGATAGGAGGATATAGGGAAGAGGTATACACCCTGCCCACCTCTCCATGAAAGTCACATCCATAAACCACATAAGATACTCTGTGCATCCTTTTGGGCCGAAATCTAATCATCTAGCTGCACCCAGCCTCAAGGGAAGACAAAAAATGTAGTCTGTACTGCGGGTGCTCATGTACCAAACTTAAAATTGGGCATCATGTTACTGAGGAAGAAGATGGAACAGATACTGGAGTATAACTAGCTGTCCTTTCCAGAGCATTCAAATTGAGTATTAGCTTCTGGATGCTGTGCAATTCTAATGGGCCCCTCTGGACAGCTGCCTGGCTGTGGGGGGTGGGGCTCTGCCTCCCTGTCTGCCTCCCCATCTGCCTCCCCATCTGGGCACTGTCTCCAGCTTTTGGACTTCAAGTCCCCCTTGGAGCTGCGGTGGTAACAGGAACATGGTCTCCTGGGGGTCTCCAGCAGGGACAGGATGGGCTTGATGATCGAGGCCAGCCATGCCATCCCAAAGAGGATCCACAGCGACACCGTGTACTTGTACAACACTGGGTAGCTCCGGGAGGGGTTCATCCCTGGGGAAGAGGCAAGGTCAGAGAGTGGAGGCCTAGGAAAGTGAGGGCCACATTCCCCAAATAAACCAGCACACAGGGCTTGATGTGGGCGGTGCATGTTGCTCAGGGATTGCTGGCCTGAGGTCACCTTCTGCAGATCCCAGGATGCCTCCTGGGCATCCTGGGGTTTGCAAGCTCAATTTCATTTTTGTCTCTCTGAGGCACTCTGCTCTGTCCCAGTTCTCAAAGTGTGGTCCCGGACCAGCAGCACCTGAGAGTTTGTTGGAAGTGCAAACATTTAATTGCAAACAATTAAGGTCCATTCCAAACCCCCTCTGGAAGGCACTGGGGGTGGGCCCAGCAATCTGTGTTTTAACAAACTCTGCAAGATGTGGAGCCTGCTCTCCTGTGTGCCTGTCTCTGTGTTTGGTTCTCTCATAGCCCAAGGGAGGCAGCTTGCCAGGGGCTTTGCTAGAATTTCTATCCTGCCTCAGTTACTGGCTGTGCCACCTCCACCTATCTGAATGACCCTGGTGGATGAAATGGGGAATATAATCCCTCCCCCTTGGCTTTTAGGGTGAAGCCTCAATTTCTCAGCCGTGACCCCTTTCCACTTCTCCAACCTGGATTTGCGGCCTCTCCCCTTTGGTGCTGTGCTTGGCGATGCTCCTCTTTCCCCCATTTCTCCACCTGTTACCCTTCCTGCCCCAGGGCCGTGGGCCTTGCGTCCTCTCAGCTCAGAATGCGCTCCATTTCCAGTTCGCCTTCAGTTTTAGCTCAGACTTTACACCATGGAGACAGGGCCGGGCCCCTCTGACACTCACAGCCTGCGTGCTCCTGTTGGGTGAGTTACTTATTCTTGCTAGGCCTCAGCTTTCTTTTCTATAAAATGGAAGCATGAAGATTATCTGCCGCCTGGTGACTGGCACATGGGTTATTGCATCTCAAGTGCTCATGATCACGCTTGGCACGTACTGATGCCCAGGGCCTATAGCTGGGTAATTGTTTGACTCATCGTTGGATCCCCGCTGGTATCCCGCAACAGTCAGGATGGGTAAGTGGTGACTGAGGGATGGAAGGTGAAGGTGGCTGTGGGACTTAGCTAAGTCAGGTCAAGGCGTTATTTAGTTCTTTCCTCTGTCCATTTCCAGGGGAGGGGTCTGTCTTGCCTCCCTCATCAGACTGGGATGGTTCAAAGGGTACAATCTGTCTTCTGATTTCCTCATTCCAAAATGATATAAAAGGGGTGAAGAACAACCTCCCGCCTCCTCCTCCCCTTGACCTACCTATGCTGTGACCTGAATCAATTCCCCTCTCTTTGATGGGCCTCAGTTTCTTTCTCCTCAACACCCTTTTCTGCCTTTGCTTCCTGTTCAGCCCCATCTCCCCTACCACCCCGTCCCGCTGGCCCCAAGACCCCCTCTCTGCCTGTCTATCCAAGACCGGCCCCTCTTCTGGGTCTCGGCTCGGGCATGAGCCTGCAGCCCGGGCCCCAGCCCCGCTGCCTGGCAGGAGCCGGAATTGGATTAGGTTGATTGGGTTATGGGGCCATGATTCCGCTGGCGTGTCCCAAATGAGATCAGTGGTGAGCCAGCTCTCTGGCCCTGCCACCCCCAGCCCAGTCTGCTCCTGGCATCCGAGCGGAGGAGGTGTTCTTCTCCCCTTTGATTTCATTTTTATAGCCGAAATCATAAGTGGCAGGAGACCTGGCAGCTGGCAAGGCGCTCCACTGAGCTCCAAATGCAATTGGAGGAAATAGTGACTGAGACCAGGAGGGGAGGCAGCTGGGGCCGGGGGCGGCTCCACCAGGGCCTCTGGGCAAAGAGGAGCCGAGATGTCCACGTGTCTGGTGGCAGCTGACTCGGGCAGTGAGGCCCAGTACCCAGGTAGTGGACCACACTGCATTCCCACTCAAGAGAGGGGTTTGGTCCTGTCCCTGGAGGACGAGGAAGACTGAAACATGGGAAGTGAGGGTGGGGTTAGTTTCTTCTCAGCTATGGAAGATTCAGGAATCCTGGGCTCTCTCCTGGACCTGCCTGTTCCATGACCTGAACTACCTTCCTTCTCCCTGATGGGCCTGAGTTTTCTTTGCAGATGAGTTGGTTGAGGCACTTGCCACGAGGGACTGACACATCCACAGAAGGGACCAGAGTGAACAGCGCATCTCCTGTGGTGGCCTGAGAACCCCTGGGCCTAGAAGGCCCTCATAGGTTTGGACTAGGCCTTCTTAGGTGGTTTTGTTGGAAGGCGGCTCTAGGAGGCCTGTGCCCCACACACCAGCCTTCTAGGCCCTGTTGCTCCCTGCAGGGCAGTTCCCAGGGCAGCAGAGACCCTGATCAGCCCTCACCTTCTGTTGAGCCTTTCCTCTTGTTTTGAGGGTGCTTCTATCTAGAGAGCACCTCCATTGTGCCTCAGGGGACTGTAGAGCCTCAAAACATCTTTATAGGGTCTTCCCATCAACCCCAAATGGGTTGCTTCAGGAACATTTCCTGGAGTCTGCTGTCAGCTATTCCTACCCAGAACCAAAGGTTGCAAGCCTTGGGAAACAGTGGGTGCTAAAAGACTAGAGCTGGGGAGTTCCTGTCCCCATTTTTCCTCCCCTATCCTGGCATCGGATGCCCTCAGAAAACCAGTCCTTCTGAGTGTAGAGGTATCCTGGGGGGAAAATCCTGACTTTCGTCCTGTGAGCCTGGTATCAGGGAGACCACTGCAGGACATGCTTGATCAAGCTGTGCTGGACTGAGGCTGCTGTGGCCAGGCTGGTCAGAGGGGTATTTCATGGAAGCTTGTGTGCAGTGTGGAAAGGAGAGAGCTCAGAGGAGAGAGGGAAGCAGGCCTTCAAAGGCCTAGGGAGGGATATTGGACCCCATCCTAAGTCTATGGAGCCACAAGAGCACTTGTCACTTTTAAAGGTGGTAAGAGCAAGGGCAGATGAGATGGAAGCTGCACGAAGCCATGGGTGTTCTGGGTGAATGGCAACTCCTTAGGACTGTGCAGTGCTCGACCGGCCCAACAGGCCACAAGCAACAGCCCTGCTGTTGGGAGAAGTGGCAGTGAGGACAGAGAGGAAAGGACAGATACAAGAAGCATTCTCTGAATTATGAGGCACAGAGGTGACTCTTGGGCCACCTGGCTCAGCTCTCTGTGGAGATACATCTCTCCACTCTGCAGGCAGGAGTAGGAGGCAGACCCGGTTGGCTGAAACCTTCCCAAGGATCCTTTCCAGAGCAACAGCCTCCTCCCGGAGAAGATGGCAGGAAGGGAGGCGCCTGATACCACACCCTTCTTCCCAGAGGGAGGGTTCAGGGAAGAGGGCCCTACACAGAGGCTAGAAGGCACTGAGGGGGTCCTAGTAACTAGTCTTAGTCTGGGCCCCTCATTTAAGACTGGAACACTGAGGCCCTGGAAAAGATCTGTGAGGGGGTCTGGAAAGAGTATGAATTTTGGAGTCAAATGAAACAGAATTCATATCTCATTGGCTGTGCAATCACAGGCAATCTGAGCTTCATGCTTCCTCCTCAGTGAAATGGGGGTGACACTCTAGGTTGTCCCATAAGTAAGCTGTTTGCCACTTTGGTAAACCCCATTTCAATATTCCAGGTTGGGTTCTGTCTCGGAAGGAGTGAAGAAGGGCTGGCCCTTCAGGAGCAGCAGAGAGGGGCGCTGATGAGGCTGAGCAGTGGTTGGGAGTTTTGGGGGTGTTGGGGGTGGCCTGACCGCCTCTGCCACCCAAAGAATGTCCTCTACTGCCCCCTGCTGGGACAAGGGCTGCTTTCTCATGCAAGAGCGACCTCATGAAGCATGTGGTGGCACAGGGGTTGTGGGAGGCTTGGCTTTCAGAGGCAGCGTGATGTGGAGAGGAGAGCCCCTGGGACATGGTTGGGGTGTTGAAGACTCCCCTTTATCTAGTGACCTCTAAGAACAATGGTTGACGCTGTGGACATTTGAAATCCACCCCCATCACCCGCCTCCCCCCTTCCACCCCCCATCCCCACCCCCAGGAGCTGTGACTTACCTGCAGTACTGGGTTCAAATTGCACTTGTTACTTTTTAGTGAGTGACCTTAGCCCCATCATACAACATGGGTGAACCTACCCAGGACAGCGCCCTCTGCACTTTGGGCCTGCACAAGGGCCTGGCACTCAGCAGGGGCCTGGTAGCTGCTGGGTGGGCATCAGGCAGTCAAGCCTCTGGGTCCCCTCCCACCCCAGCCATCTGTTGGGGCTCTCACCAATCACGTAGTCACCGTAGCCCACGGTGCTGAGGGTGATGAAGGCGAAGTAGAAGCTCTCCATGTAGCTCCAGCCCTCCACGTGGGAGAAGAGCAGTGGGGGCAGCAGCAGGAAGAGCAGGAGGCCTGAGAGGAGGGCCCCCGTGCCTGCTAGCCAGCGGGCCTTGGCTGGGTCCTGTGGGTGCACACAGTCCCAGCCCCATGTGGCCTCTGCCTGGTGTGTGGAGACCTGGGGAGCAGGCAGCCTGGGGGCCCAAACTGGAGGCAGTAAGAAGGGATGCCTGGAGCTCCCCCACCTAGTTTGTATTCTCCAGGCTGCTTTCCTGTCCCCCAGGACACCTATTGCATCTCCCCCACTTCATTACTAAAGACCCCACTTTTGGATAGTGACCCCCATCCCACCACAGCCATCCTTTCCTACAAGAGACTCACTCTGGGCCTCCCCTGGTGGCGCAGCGGTTGAGCGCTGGGCTGTGAAGCTGCCCGCAGCCTCTGCAGCGCCGGTTTGATCCCCGGCCACCGGTGAGGGTCCCACATGGCGCACAGACCTCTCCTGCCGCCCGCTGCTCCCCTCAGCAGTGTGTTTCGTCAGTCTGACTGTTCTGTTCCCCGCTCTGGCTCTGGTGAATTCTCTCACCCTCCCGCGCTTCTGACTGTACCCAGTGCTTGTATAAATAAATAAATAAATAAATCTTTAAAAAAAAAAAAAAGACTCACTCTGGGTTCTGATGCCCCTTGCCATCCGGAACCCCGATTCCCACCATGCCCTTCACCCTAGAAGGGACCCATCCTCCCCACCCCCCACTCTGCAGTCCCCTTACCTGCCAGGCACCCCCCAGCCTGCGGGTGCAGTTATGCATCCCTCGCTGCATGAGATGCCCCAGTTGGTTGAGCACCACGAGGTGGAGGGGGATCCCCACAAGAGCAAAGAAGATACAGAAGATGCGGGCCGCCATGGTGTGGAGGCTCAGGTTGCCGTAGCCTGAGGGGAGATGGCAGCACTCAGGGCACCTCCTTTCATTCCTCAGGGGCCCTCATCCCTGAATGACTGACCCCAGGCATGGCAGGGGGGTGTACGTGGAGCCTGCTTTCCCACACAAGGCTCCGTGTGGGGGCCTGTACTTTGCCCAGTCCAGTCTCACCACAGCTTACTGACTGGACAACAGAAGCTCTAGAAACTCATAAGCGTGTGGGAACTTCAACCCATGGAGTACCAAGAGCTGGTCTTCCCTCTCCTTCCCTGTCTCTCTTGGTGGGCAGAGGGTGGGGGCAAGGAGTGCAGCAGGGGAGCCTGCGAGGGAGACGAGGTTCTAGCGCCTGCACCTCCGGGACCCACAGCTCCATTCACTCTGAGGCCACGCTCTCCTCAGGCTTGTGTCTCTGGGCATGGCAGGGGTGCCAGAGCTGGCCAGGTGGCACCCCTTTCCCAGGCAATCCGGCTCAGGGCTCCCACCGGGTGCCATGCATTCTGTGGCTGTCCCCACGCAAGCCCCTTCCTTCCCACTCTCCAGTCACAGGTGCCAGACCCACTTTGCAGTCCGACGTTCCCTCCATTTACCCTGCAGCTGCTCTTCTCCAAACGCTTCTCCTCACACTCTCTCCACCGACCCCCCAAGGACTGAGGAGCCAATAATGACCCTCCAGGTGACCTGGAGGAGTGAAAGTCGGGCCTCTGGTCAGGAGGATAAGGGAAGGGCAGGCTAGGGGAGGCCTGACCTTTTTTTTTCTACTTCACTCACTTCCACCTGTTTCTACCCTTCTTGGTCATCACTGCCTTCTTGTCTTTCTAGAATACAAACCTGATTGTACTGTCTCCCAAATTATTACCCTTCATGCTGCCTCATGCCTGCTGGGGAAAGTCCAAACTTTCACCAGCCTGTCTCTAAACCTCATCTTTCCCAGCTCCTGTCCTGCAGAAGCTCCGCCCCCCACAGGCCTCCACACCTTTGAACATGATACTCCCTCCACCAAGGGGTTGCCTCCTCCCCTTGTCCATCTATAAAAGCCCAAATCCTGGCCCTTAATAGATGCTCACAACGTGTGTGTTGAGTGAGTCTAAGAATGAATGAATGAATGAATGTAGCTAGTTGAAGGGCTGCCTTGCATTAGTACCTAATGTCCCCCCTTGCTGGGGTCAGGGCCCTCATACACCCCTCACTCATTTCTACTTATTTGAAACTGGGGTTTGACAGGCACCGCTGCCTTACTGATGGATCTCAGGGGGCTCCATGTTGAGAGAGCTCAGAACACATACAAGTCCAGAGTGTGGGTTTTGGAGGCAGAGGCACTCCCTGGGTGGGAATCCCGGCTCTGCCTCTTGCCGGCTGTGGGAATTTGTGCAAGTGGTTTGACTTTTCTGAGCCTGTTTCCCTGTCTATAAAATGGAATTGTTGACATCAACATCACAGTGTGGTGTGGGCTCTCTGCCACTTGTGGCCTCTGCACCTGTGTGTGTGTGAAAGCACTGGATAAGGCTCTCCTGCATGACTGCCCAGAGACAATGGCCCACATCACAGGCAGCCAGGGACGCCCAGGTAGCTGTTAACTGAGCGTGTGGTCAGTGTCCAAGGCCGTCTGGGAGTAACTTGGAAATTACACCAAGTGCCTTCATGGGAAATTCTCCCATGGAACGTGGATGACATGTCCCTTCCTGTTCCCCATAAAAACTGATTATCCTTTGTCTCCCCTGGATCCTGCTCCTCCTGCCATTGTCACATAATCAATCATACTTGTTCATTACTGCTAATAAAAAGCAAGAGCACTGCTCACTGGGCAGCAGAGTCTTGCCTTGCAAACCTGCTCCATTACTCGTCCCTCAAACGTGTCCCCAGGAGCATGCTCGCGTGTTCCTGACCACCACAGTGTGGGGTGCAGTGGGGGTATGCTGGAGCTGGGAATGTGAACCCTCAAGTACCTAGTATACAAGAGATGCTAATTGATGTGTGTTGAAGGAATGAATGGATGAATGATCCAGCTCTACGAACCAACTTCTGGCCGGAAGACATCAAAGTCCTCCTCTTGATCCATCTACCTGCCCCCTCGTGCCTTTTATAGATTCCCTTCACTAAAGGAGGGAAATCTCCTTTCTGTTGACTTCCAGGGAGAGGTCACCCTCCTGGTTTCCATCCTCTGCTTACCTCCTCACCACTACCCCCTCCTCCAGCTGTAGCTCCTCCCAACCCCCATCCCTGGGGGGTCTTTTCATTCAATTGTGAATGGTGGGATTTCTGGTCTGGAAGGACCCTCATGGAGCCCTCTGTCTCTCTAAGATTAACATTAAATAGGATTTTCTCCTTCCCACCACGGTCAGTCAGTCCTCAGGTCAGAATATCAGTGGATGGCAACAGGCCCTCACCTACCTACTGTAAGCTGGGTGGCCCAGCCCCATGTGAGCCCCCTCTCACTTCAGCAGGTCTCCCTCTTGTCAACTCTCATTTACCAGTCCAGTCCTAGGACACCCAGCTGGTCCTGTGAGGCTGTCTGTGGTTGGGATCCTCTGTATCTTTTCTGAACTCAGTCCTTGGTTCCAACCTTCTCCATCCACCAGGACCTCCTTACTGTTCCTCAATTATACCAGCCACATCCTACCTCAGGGACTTTGCACTTGCTGGCATGAGATTCTTTCCCCATGTATCTACACAGCTTGCTCCCTTATTCTGCTTGTGTCTCTGCTTCAGTGTTACTGTATCATTTGTGAGCACCTTATCTACAGAAGGTCCCCTGGTCCCCAGGCCCCCATCACTATCAGACTCCTTCCCTGGCTTTATTTTTCTCTAAGCACCTCAAACTATCTGAATATTGCCACAGATCTGTTTATTTGCCATGTGTCCCCTCTCACTAGAATGTGGGCTTCCCATAGACAGGAGCTTGATAGCTTTATTCCCACTGTATCCTCAGCACCTAGAACCCACACTAGCCACTCAGCCTGTTCGTTGAATGAATATATGGACAGGTAAGTGAACAAATGAGCAAGCCAGGACAGTGTTTATGATTTCTGGGTTCAGGCCTGTCCTGATAGTCCAGAAGGGCTTGTGTTCTAGGATTTCATTAGAAAGTGCAGCTCTTGCAGGGTGCCGGCCCCTGGGAACTGGGGTGGCAAGGAGGCAGCCCTCTGCTGTGCCTCTCAGAATACTTCCGCTTGTGGGGTATCCCACATATACACATTCCCAAATCTTTGCTCCCCTTCTTCCTCTCTTTATCACCTCCCTTTATGTGAATATGTCTGCACGTGTAGGTGTATGTGTATACAGGTGTGAGTGTGAATATGTATGTGAGAGAGAGACAGATCAGATCAAAATCACAGGTTTCCCTGTTGTTCACCTTCAACTGACTATTTCTGCCTGCTGCTTAGACTCCCCCTGTAGCTTACATATCCTGCGAGGACAGACACTATTGGAAAAGAAAGCAGTGAAGTCACCCAGTCAGGTCCCCCTTCCAGCTATGTGGCCTTGGGAAGTTGTGCAACTTCCCCATCCCTCAGTTTCCTTATCTATGATGTGAACGTAATAAGCCTTATCCTGGGAGATCGGGCCAGAGGGACAAAATGAGATCTCACAGGTAAAAGCTCTCCTTCCAATGCATGCCAGTTGGGGTGGGATTCCTCTGGCTTCTCCCCTCAGAGCTGACAACTCTGAGGTAGAACCCAATGGGCAGGGCCGTGGTCTCAGCTGTCTATGGAAGGTCAAAGAAAGGCAGGCTGAGAAACTGAATTTGGTGGGCTAAAGTCACAGGCCCAGGGCAGAGGGTATAGGAGGTGTGGGGTTCAGAGCCTAAGGACCCCCATATGCCTGGAAGACCTGGCCCCTGCTGATTGTGCATTAGCCCCCACTACCCTGGAACTCAGTACATGGGCATTCATGGGCTCCATTAACGTGGCTGCGTTGTGGAGCGCGCACTCCACACTGGGTCTTGTACTAGATCCTGGGGATGGGAAGGTGAACAAAACTTCCTGATCAGTCCTTCTGGGCACAGGTTCTATGGAGTCTCCCAAGCCTGCTTGTCTCAAAGTGGAGGATGGCCCAAGCTCCCATGTCACCCTGAGACCTGCTTCTAAGAAGTATTGGCTCATTAAAAACTAGATGGAAAGTCTCCTGGGTGCTCCCTGGTGACTCCATCCAGAAGGACAGAAGCTGTGATGCTGGTTTCATTGAGAGACTCCTGGCTGGCCAGGGCCGGAGGCTGTAGCCTGAGCCACCGCGATGTCAGCCTGCCACCTAGTGGTCATTCTGTGTCATGCAGCTGCCACAGCCTGGGGCAGCACCATATGAGTTATTTCCAGGGGACTGGGAGTTGGAGGGATCTAGGCTGAGATTCTTCTTCCCCTCACAACAGCCCACCTCTAACAAGTTTTTCCTCTGGTCTCCTGAGGGCAGGGCTGCAGAGACAAGAGGGGTATCTGCCCCCCACGTCCCAGTGTGTGAGGGAAGAAAGTGACTTGGAGAGGAAGGTTATAGGTGAGGTGGTGCTTAAGTGAGCTGGGGAGGGGCCTTCAGGAATGGTCATCTCCCCCAGAGGGTGAGAGCAGGGGTTGAAATACTCTTTTGGGGGCCTCTCTGGTGGCGCAAGGGGTTAAGCACAGCACTATGGAGCAATTTGTAGCCTCTGCAGCGCGACTTCCATCCCTGGCCGGCCAGGGAGCTACTCAATGGTACAACAGACCTCTCCTGACTCGCCTGCTGCTCCCCTCAGCGGTGTATTTCAGTCAGTCTGCCTGTTCTGTTCCCCACTCTGTCTCTGGTGGATCCTCTCATCTCCTGCATCTCTGGCCTGTACCCCAGATCTTGTATGCATGGATGGATAAATCTTTAAAAAAAGAAAGAAAAGAAATACTCTTTTGGAGATTCTGCCTCTCCTCCTTCCCAGGTGTCCCTTGTCCCCCACCATGCCATCCTTGGGGATTAGTGTCAGATGGACTTGGCTGAGAAGACCAGCACACATGTAGAGCCCAGAAGCTTCTTTACTGCCGTACTGGAGAGGCCTCTGCTTCCTGAAAGATTGTGTGAAACAGATGTCCTCTAGAATAGTGTATCTCAAATTTGAGGCTTGCACACACACCTCCTGGGGACCTCAGAAAGTATAGAACTGATGAAGAGGTCTGCAGGGAGCCCCGAGATTCTGCTCCCAGGTAGTGCCCATATTGTAAGGCCCAAACATACTAGGAGTCAACCCTGCCAAAAGGCAACTGGTCCCCTGTCCTCTGGGGTCCACCCTCCCAGCCCACCCGCCCTGGCCCCATCCTCTTACCAATGGTGGTAATGGTGGACACGGAAAAGAAGAAGGAGCCCTCGAGCTCCCAGCGTCCCATGCTGGTGGTGTTGTCGAAGGTGATGTCCCCACTTTTGTATGCTTGGATGATGCCCTGAGGAGAGGCTACAGTGACCACCAGGCTCTTGGGGTGACTGGGCCCCTGTAGCCAACCCCCCCACCCCCCTGCACACACACTCAAGGACGTTCTCACGACCATGCTTTGATCCCAGCCTGGCCAGAGAAAGGAGGTTTCCCCTCCAACCAGAGTGTCCCTAGGCTAGGGGTGAGGGTTTGGAGGGACAGCACCCTCCCCTCGTTTTATCCCAGAACCTAGATCAACCCAGGGTATCTCACTGACTGGAAGAACATCATTTCCTCCCCTGCTCACTCCCTTTCTTGCAACGAGGACAGGTCAAGCATGACGTGTGATGCTTTGAGGAGTCCCAAAGATGAAAGAGACAAGGCTTCTGGGCTCTCTAACAAGGCACAGCCAGGCAGCTGCAGGGATTTAGGTAGTATGGCTGCTTGATCCCAGGCAAGATATTCAGCATCTCCGGGCCTCAGTTTCCTTATTTGTCAAGTGGAATACTAATAGCATCTATGGACACGGGCGTGGAGCAGGCCATGCCCTCCTCAGCCTAGGTCCCCTGTGTCTGTCCAGGGAGCACTAGTCCCTGCAGATCCACACTGATCTTGTGACCTTCTGAGACCTCAGATTTCTTTTTTTCACCTGCTTTCTCTTTGTGACCTGAGAGCCTCGCAGACCTGATGAGAGGGTTAAATGAAGCATGAGGTGTAAAGGCTTAGAACAGAACCTGGAACATGGGAACGGTGGTGGTGGCTGTTGTCACCACCATCACCATCATCACCAGTATGATGCTGTGGGAACGCAGAGAGGAAGGACGTTCTGATGAGGGTGGGGGCAGAAGGCTTCGTGGAGGGGGTAACATTTTAGTCGAGCCTCCCTTGAGGGTCAGACAGGATTGCTTCTGGCGGGAGGCCATTTGGGTAGCTGGGACAGCAGCGGCGAAGGCTGGGAGGGGATCCTGCCTGGGGTCTAGAATAGGGAGACTGAGAGGCAGTGGGGAGTCAGGCCATGCTGGGCTTTGCCACGCCAGGGATGGCATGGCCTGCTTCTTCAAGGTCACGGAGCGAAGAGGAGGCAGGTTTTTGTGTGCTGAGATGCTAGAGCACAGATGTTGGCAGAGCAGAAGGAGCCTCCTGCAGGGGTTGGTGATGGAGGCCTGCCCGCATCCTGGGATGAAGTAGTCCGGCAGGAACAGAGGAGAGTTTCAGAAGCCCAGGCCCCTGGCCGTGTTTCGTATGGCCAGTGAGGGAAGCACCTGAGACCACTGTGAGGTATGTGGCTATGGGGCCAGCAGCAGAGATTCAGAGCAGGTGGAGGAGGGGGGCTGGGAGGAGGAGGGCCACTTGCTTTTGACTTTGGGAGAATTTGAGGGTGGAGAGTTGCAAGTGTCTGGTGCTCAGGGGGAGATCTGGGTGGGTGATGCCATATCTTATTTCTGGGGATGACTGACCAGGACCCAGAGGAGGTTTGCGGAAGTGAGTGAAGTGGGGTGAGGTGGAGCGGGAAGAGGCCAGAGGGGAAGTGTGCTGCCATGAAAGCCCAGCTGGGAACCTCAGAAAACACCTCTGTTCACAGTTCCACACTGAGCAGGTACTCATGGTGGTTTACAGCCTGTAGGGTAAGGAAAAAAGTATCAGGCTTTTCTGCCCTCCCGCCATCAGGATAGATGATGGATCCTCGCGGTCCTGAATGCATGCCTGATGGCGGGCTCCTGGAATAGGGTGTGGGCATAGGTAGATGGGATTCACCTGGGCTGAGACTGGGTTTTAAGGGCGGCATCATGGGGATGCCAGGAGAAGCCGAAAGAAGAAGAAAAGCAGAGAGAACGCCAGAGAGCCCAGATAGAGTGAGGATTTGCTGGGGGCTGGGAGGACTGCCAGCCTCCCGGCCCCCCAGCACCCCTGCCTGCCATATGCCTGGTGAACCCCAATAAAAGACCTGCAAAAGCCACTGAGGACTCTGACTCCTCCTTTACCCGGTCTGCGGGATCATAGAGAACCTGCACTGTGTCATTCCTGCCCCATACACAGCCCCTGACTCCTAGGCTGGCCCAGTAACCATCATTTGTACTTAACCTCTCTGAGCCTCAATTTCTTCATCTCTAAAATGGGAATGATGATAACAGTTCCCACCTGTGAGACAGGTGAGGCTGAGGGAGTGGCAACAGGTTAATGCCCTCGGTACAGCATGTGCTACCCGGAAGCAGCCACTATTATTATCGCCATCATTATCATCTTCCCTGGGCTGCTTGTAGTTGAAGTTCACCACCTTGGCAGGAGGAGTGTCTGGGGGTCTGGAAGTGGGAATAGAGGCGGCCATTAAGCTCTTAGCCGAGCTCCCGGCCTCGCTAAACCTGCAGGTCTCAGGCGCCCCCTTCACTTGCGTCCCAGAGACTCTTCCCATTCAGACACACTTCCCAGCTCCCTTCTGGAAAATGGCTTTGGGCTGGCGACTCCAAGACCCAGACTCTGCGCTCTCAGGTAGAGGAGGTACCTGAAACCTAGGTGGGAGATTTCGGGTTAGGGCCCAGCAGTCTGGGTTCGGGAACCAAGCCAAGGTTAATGCTTCTGCCAAACCCCAGCAGCTCCCAGAGCAGCAGCGCCTCCATCGTGTGCGATGCCCGGCGGCGAAGAACCTGTCTCCTCCCCCGGCCCCCATGCCCCCCGGGTCCTCCCCCTCTCAGGTCACTCTTTACCTCGGCCTCCGCCGCCTATTCAGGACCTTTTCAACCGTCCGGGCCTCGGCAGCGCGCCCAGTCGCGGAGCAACGCAGGCTCAGCCAAAGGGCGCCCGCGCTGCGCTCCTGCCCTCGGACCCGCGTCCGCACTTTCCGGGCGCTCGGACCTGACCCCCAGCCCCACCCGCCCTGGGACGAGCGTTCCTTTCCCCCAGTCCCCAGCCCTTGGTCTTCCTTGTCCTCAGACACCGCGCAGCCATTCCCGCGTGTCCTATCTTCCTTGGCGGGGGCGGGACCCCCGCGTAATGCGCTGTCGGGTTTGGCCGCCCCACGGGCCACCCCCCTGGCCGGCCGAGCGCGCTCCGGCCTCATTTTGAGCCGAGTGGAGGGCCCTCCTAGCTCCCGCCCCAGCTAGCACGCCCTGTCTCCCTCGTCCCGCACTACGGATGCCTGCACCAAGCATCTCTCCATTTGGAGCGGGTCAGGGCCCCTCGCCCCTAAAGGAGGACTCGGAGCGCGGCGCCGCGTGTTCCCCTCGCGGCAGGGGGACGCCTTCCTTGGCGGTCCCGCTCCACCCTCCGGGCCCGCCCGGCAAACCGCGCCCACCGTCGTCCTGCGTCTCTCTCCTCCACGCGTCTTTCGGACTGGTGCTCCCCGCTGCGCCTCAGGAGCCAGGGCGTGCCCTCTCGCCCTCTGGGTGTGCCCTAGGCGTCCCCCTGCCCGATCCCCCCACACCCGGGCCGGGCCCCGCTCGCCCCTGACCCGGATCAGCATCTCCAGCGCAGGGCCGTCCAGGCACGTGAAGTTCCGCAGCAGCGCCCACTTGTCGCTCTGGAATCTGTCACTGGAGTTTTTCGCTGCTGGGCTCTCCAGCATCCAGAACACGCTGGTGCCCAGTGCCAGGTGAGCCAGGTAGGCGAGCAGCAGGAGAGCTGTCCTGGGCATTCTGTAGTCCCTGGCCCTGCCCTCAGGCACCCTCCGGGCTTTTGGGCTGCACATCTCCAGAGAAGGGGGAGGCAGGAGCCTGGAGTCCTGCACCAGGACTGAGGCGGAAAGGAAAGGCTAAGAGCTGGAAAGTTTCCTTCTCTAGCAAATAAATGCCTGCCGGTGCTTAGTTTTCTCAGCACAGTAGGCGTGCTGGGGAGCTGGACAGCCCTCCCCTCCAGCTCCAGATCCAATCCCAAGACAAAAAGAGGCCCTGGGTTGTGGGCATCTGACTCCGCCTTCAGATGTGTGGAGTGCCCAGCCCCAGGCCTGACTGGAGGGAAGGGGACGGCTGCTGGAGGCAGACACAGAGAGGGAAGGGGCCAGAACCCCCAGCCTGCCCTGCAGCAAACAGTGGGAGAAACTCCTGGAGACCACACCCGGTGAAGAGCAAGTAGAAGCCAAGTTTATTGTCTTAGGACCCCCGCCCAAGTCCTCCAACTCTGGGATTATCGCCAAGGACTTGCTGCCAGTCAAGTCCTCCCTGAGTTTTCCCCACACCATCTTTGTGTATCCAAGAAGGAGGGACCCCAGCTGATCACTACTTGTCCATGGGCTTGGGAAGCAGAGGATCCTCGACAATGGACTTGTTCATTCCCTGCTTCTGAAGAGGCCCCCTAACTTCCTCCCCCATCCAGAATGGAGGAAGGGCCCAGGGCATGGCAGGCGTCCATGGGGGTCCTCAGTGTCCCACGCCTCTCCTCCACATCAGGAAGTCCTAGGGTGTCACCCTGCTCTCCTGGCTGCTGCAGAGGCTTCCCTGATCTTGCACTGGGATCGCCTCTGCTTCACCTTCTTGCCCCTGCCCTATCCAGAGGTCCCTGGCCACTATGGGCCTGCCTTGCTGGGAGAGGTAGGCGCTGAGGTTTGCAGTCCTTGGTGAGGCTGGTCTTGGGATGGACTGGTCTTGGGATGGACTGGTCTAAATCTCTCTTCTCCTCCTGGCTAGAGTGGTCAGTCTGGCAGAAGGGCCAGAGCCGCAGAGTGCATTCCAAGGGGGGGCCCAGCCTCCTTGGCGCTGATTTCCTAGAAGTCTCCTGGGAGCTGCTGACTCTCCATTTTCCTGGGAGGTGTTTGGAAAGACTACTGAGAAGACAGGAACTCAGAAGGGGTGATGAGGTGAAGGGATGACCTGTGTGAGACCAGGGGAGGCCATGCCCAGGAGAGTCGATGGATACCCATGAACTCCTAAGCCTTGTTCATGGTCAGCTCTAAACCATGGGGCCAGGGGAAGTGGCAACTTGCTTCCCCACAGGGTAGCTTCGTGACATCCTATTTGCACTAAGAGGGCTTCAAAGTTCCTACCAGCCCTTTCTTCTCCCCGACCCTCCCCGAGTGACACTCCTGTGGGTTCTCACCATGTCCTGGGCACTAGGTTGGAGTTACCTCTCTGCTTATTCAGTCCCTCCACTCGACGAAATGCACATGGAGGGTAGGAACAGTCGGTGCTGCATTTCCAGAGCCCGGTACAGTGCCTGAGACACACAATGGGGGAGCCCATTGTTCCTGATGAATGCACATTGTGCAGGTAGCAAATGAGGCAAAAACAAAGTCACCCTTTGTTTGCTGTCATGTATAAGGTCTCCTGGGAGGGGGCCAGGGAGGACAATGGGTAATGGGCCACAGTGATCCATGTCTGGATTCCACTTTTCCAGGTTGAGTCTTTTGAGGGGGAAAAGCACAGGGCTCTGGGACAGTGGCATACGTGTGGCTTCACACACATCTGTCTTCACCCTCTCTCTGTATCTCCTTTCTGTTACCTTGTTGGACACTCTTATCTGCTTTCTCTCTTCAGGGAACTCCTGAGACCAGCCCTGGCTGGGAAGTGAGTGGACCGGCAGAGGAGGAGGTGGGGCAGGAAATCCGGAGGGCATATGGGGTGGCTGGGGAAGCTCAGAAGGGCTCCCGGGGGAACCTCATGCAGAGATGGGAATCTTTGAAGGTCTGGGGAGTCCATGGGTCTCAGAGACTCCTCTTTCCTTGAGGCCAAGACTCCTGCTGAGCAGCCAGAGTTGGGAGCACCTGCGCAGAAGCAGGGGGCCGAGTGGGAGCACCAGCGCGAGCCACGCCAGGCCCAGGAGGATCCAGATGGCCGCCAAGCTCCGGTACACTGAGAGATAATGCTTGCTGGGGTCTGTGCCTGGCAGGGAAGAATGCCAGAGGACTCAGGACATAGTCACCTCCCAGGCTTTACCCTGCCAGCACCCCCATTACAAGGATCAGCAATAGAGGACCCAGGGAAAAGGGTGATTGTTTCCAACCAGTGACTTGCTGAGAAGTCAGTATAGTCCCACAGGTCACTCATCTCCCTGCATCAATCAGGGGTTCTCTGATCCTCAGTGGTTATCCAGGCTGACATTTCCCCACCCCCTGAGCCCTGCGGCCCCTATCAGAGATAAATGCCTCCTTACCGACAACGTAGTCCCCGAAGCCAATGGTGCTGAGAGTGATGAAGGCAAAGTAGAAGCCCTCGCTGATGCTCCAGCCCTCCACATGGCTGAAGACCATAGGTGGGAAGATGAGAACCACCAGCGTCCCCAGGGCCATGAACAGAGCCAGGCCCAGGATCTGCAGTAGCTGGGGAAAAGGGAGTGTGTCTTTGAGGCCATTTGGAAGGAACCAGGATAGTATGGAGTGTTTGTGGGGGTGCCTGGACAAATCTGAAAGTGGGACTGGGCCACGGGTAGGTCCCTGTCCTGCCTGCCCTGCAGACCTTTGGGCTGGGGTTGTATCTCAGTGCACATGATCTTGCCCAGGCCGGAGACAACTTGGTCAGAGGGATTGTGTTAGTGGGCCAGGTTAGAATTTGGAATTTGGGGTCTCCCTGGTGGCTCAAGCACAGCACTATGAAGCTATTCACAGCCTCTGCAGCACGAATTCGATCCCCGTCTAGCCAGGGAGCAATCCATATGGCTCAGTAGACCTCTTTTGTCTCCCCTGCTACTCCCCTCAGCAGTGTATTTTGGTAGATCTGCCTGTTCTGCTTACCCATTATGTCTCTGGTGAATCTTGTCACCACACCCCCCACCTTGGCACCTCTGGCCTGTACCCCAGTTCTTGTATGCATAAAGAAATAAATCTTAAAATTTTTTTTTGGAATTTGAAGACTCCTTGGGCTTAGGGAATCACATTTGTATAGCTCTCTCCCCAAGACTGAGATCTGGGACAAAGGACTGTTGCTGAACTGTCCCAGATTCCTTTGTACCTCCCCTCCCAGGTGCCTGGCCTTTTGAGGGACTGAGCAATGGGGAGGACACTGAAGGCATGCTGGGTGGGTTTGGAGTTTGTTTCTGACCACAAGAAAGGATGTTGGAGTTGTGTGATGCCCATGGATTTGTCCCACATAGATGGTCGAAGAAGACCTTACTGACCAGGTATCACCTTCAGCTATTGGCTCTGTCAGGGCACACCTCATCTACAGAGAACTGCCTGGTCCAACTTGGAGGGGGGTAGGTTACCCCAGTGCTTGATTGAGGTGGTTACCCCAGTGCTGGCCGAACAAGCCTACTGCTGGTCAACTCCGACGGCCCACACATGTTGCCTGGCTCCTTGAGGGGTTGGCCAAGCTCAGCCTGCATTGCAAACCAGCGATTCAGCTTCTCCCTCACCTCCAACCTCTCCTTCCATGGCCATCAACCCCTAACACCCTGCCTGCAAACCTCTGTCTCAGGGTCGACTTCTGCAGGGCTGTCCCTACCTGGGAGCGCCTGGGCTGGTCCTCCCATCTCTCAAGGGTGACCAGGTGGGCACGTAGCCCTGTGCCCAGGTGGTTGAGGAAGACCACGTTGAGTGGGATGCCCACCAGGGCATAGAAGACACAGAAGACTTGGCCTGCCTCCGTGCTGGGTGCCAGATTCCCGTATCCTGTAGGGGGAAGAGGCGTGTCCATAGATGGAGAAGAGAGAGTTCCTACTCACCCCCAGACTCTGCAGAGGGAGGTTGTCTTCCACCACTTCTGAGGGGGTGGGGGGAGAGAAAGCTCCCCTGTTCCCAGGAGCACTTTTCCCACCCTCTGCTAGAATGATCTCTTCTTATGAGAATCCCATTTATCTTCAAAGGTCCATCTCAAATACATTACCTCCAGGAAACCCTCCTGACTGTCACGCCCTCCTTGCTACAGGGTATAGTTGCCCACAGTGCTTTTGTGTGGCTTTTATTTAATTATCCACTGTGTCTGAACTAGTCCTTTTGGTTTATCTTATCATGGGATGGGAAGCTCCTTGAGGGCTGAGCCTGGGTCTGATCCAAGTTTGTGGCCCCTCCTCCTACTCCATCTGTGCTATATGTCACCTTTGATCAAGGAAGTTGTATGGAATTAGACTTAATAGGCTGGATGGGGAGACTGGGTTAGCAGGGGTCTGGCATTTCCTTCCAGGAGGAGGCATGAGTTTTTTGGCTGAGGGTATAGAAGACGTTAGTGGTGGCTCGTCCCCCAGGAACTTGGGGTATCACCTGCAGCTTAAGTGGACAGTTTCTGTGTACAGATGACTTCCACCCCACATCTCTGCATTTTTCTCTGCCTGAGAGATTTTTTCTGGGTCCAGGAGTGTACCTGAACTGTGGGCAGGTCTGAAATGCTAGAGAATGAATATCTCCAGGACCAGTTTTCAACCAAGAAGGTAGATGTTGGTGCATAAACACCCCTGCTTTCTTGCCCCTCAAAGATCTGTTCTGAGGATGGACTCTGCCTAGTCTCTTAGGAGGTCCCCAGGGGAACTGAACCCCTGCCACCCTAACCAATAACCTGCTCATTAATGCAAACTTTCTCCCATTTTCTCTCTTTCTTGTTACACATCCCCACTTCTCTATTCATACTTCTGAAACCATCTCTAGATAAACCACATCCTTGTCTCAGCATCTGCTTTTGAGGAACCCAGACTCAGGAAGAGGCATGGGGGAGCCTTCTCCACCTGACTCTTTACCTATGGTGGTGACGACCGTGCCTGCGAAGAAGAAACTGCTGCCGAAGTCCCAGTTGCTGGGGTTGGTGGAATTGCCTTTGGGGTTCACGCCCTTCACCCAGGCTTCCAGGATGACCTGTGGGTATGGGGGGAGAGGATGAAGCCTGACTGCACTGGCTCTTGGCCAAGCTACGGCTTTGGTGTCACCTCATGAAATGATATTCTTAGATCATGTCAGTCCAATTTCATGGAAAAGGAAACTAAGGCTCAGGGCCACTCAGTTTCGGTTGTCCAAGGTCATTGGATTCCAAAGCTGTTGCCTTTCTGCTGGCCAGTCCAGCCAAGCCGTGGGTGTGCGCATGGACTGGTGGAGGAGAAATGGGCCTAAGGAGATGAGGTAGAGGATGCTTCAGGAGTGGACCAGGTGGGAGATGCTGCCTATGGTCAAGGCTGAGATGCAAATGGGTTGTCAGGGCAATGGGAAGATTTCAGGTTGGGTGTGCCAGGAAAGGTTTACTGGGGAACATAGGGTTTGGGGACTATACAGGAGCCATGGGGCTGCCTTCCCATGAGGCTGAGGGTGGGGAACAGAACCTTGTGTGCCTCCAGCTTCCAGGTGAACAGGCAGCCGCGCTCTTTGCTGCCCCCTAGTGAGCCCCAGCCCAGGCCGACTTGAGAAATTCCACCAGAAGCGGGGCAAAGACTGTGTGTGTGAGAGAGTTGGCGGTATATGTGTGTGGTGTGTTGTATACATGTGATGCATATATGGATACTGTATGTTGCATATGTGTGCTAGCTTTGTGCATACTTACAGGACCAGAACCCCTGAAGGCTCAAGCCTAAATCCTTCTGTCCCTGGGTCCAGCCCTCTGGGAGATGTGCGGGGCTCCCTCACCTGTCTGCTCCCCAACAGCCTCCCCTGTAACTGTGAGTTGCCTCAGGACAGCAGCACAAGCCAAAGGCAGCAGGAGGAGGTGGGGTAGGGCACTTCTAGCTCCTAGTAACCGTGGAAACAGTGTCCCCACTGGGCGTGTGAGTCAACTCCCAACAGGCTGGGGGTGGCTCCCAGGGGCAGGGCCAGTCTGAAGCGTCTTGACATGGGCTTCTGCTTCTTCTCACTTTGACAGGATCTGACCTCTTCACATTTGAACTTTGACCTCTCTCTCTTTCCCACACATCCGGAGGGCCAGGACCAAACATTCAGGAACACACCCACCGCCTAGAGACCTTCACCCTTGGGAGCAGTACTTGCCCTGGACCAGGGCTGGCCCCTTGGCAGACCTGAGGCTCTCCATCCCCCTGACAGGGGTCTTGATGTCAGCCAGCGTGGGCTGCTGATTGTGGGCCTTCCATTCTTGTCCACACATGATGGATAAAATCAGACATGAGTCTTGTTCCCAATGGATGCAATCTTGAATAGTGTGTTTAGCCTTTTTGTCTTGTGATTGGAACAGTAATGTGTTATTCTTGTCCCAGTATTTTTCTGCTTCTCAGCTAGATGTCCCCTGGTAAATAAGGTCCCTCCCAAGAAACAAAGGATTTTCAGGGACAAGGATATCCTAGCTCCCTTGGGGAGTCAGGGGGTGGGGTTAGTCAGTGGCACCACCCTTGGGGTTACAGTCAAATCTACTGCTTCCCTCCTCTCGTAATAGAGGTAAATATGTCCCTTCCATGCTATGCTGCTCCTGGATTTCGCCTCTGACCCTGGGCTGGGGAGGAAGAGGTTTCAGAGCCTCCAGGGCCTCTGCCTTACCCTCTAAAGTCGTGGGAAGCCCCTGCACCCCTCGTGCCCTGATTTGGCCCTAGATGTATACTTCTGTGGACAAGGAAACCTGGGACCAGAAGCCTCTTTTCCTAAAAGGCAGGTCCTGGCTGGGTCTGTTACAGCTCTAGAAATTTCTCTGTCAACTCCCTGCCCACCCATCATAGTCTAGTCCACTTATTCTCCATCTCAAGGGGCCATTGGCTTCCCCTGAGGGCTGGTAACCCATGGCCTTCTTCCCAGCCCCTGGAGCTCCTGATTTGGAGGGTCCAGGATGGGCATGCTCATTGGCATTTCTAACAAGCACTTAGAGGGTTTTGATGCCACTGGACCAGAAGTCACACTCTGACAACCACTGCCCAAGGCTATCTCTTATCCCCTCTACCATTTATGCTAATTTCTGTGTTGAAGGGCAGACAACCTGGGTTTAAGTTCTGGTTTTTCCACCAGCTGTGCAGCCTTGGTCAACACACTCCTCTCTGTGCTTCATACCCATCTACGAACCAGAGAGAGGGACAGTAATAGGTATTATGAGGAAACACAAGCAATACCTTGGGCCCCAGGTGCTAGATCATGTCTGGTTTCACCCTGCTCCCCTCTGTTCTAAGTAGGTTGTAAATGTTCAATAAATACCTAATATTATTGCAACGATCCTGCACTTGGTTTGTTTCTTTGTGGTGGGTGGTACTGTTCCCTCAAAACCCTGGTCTCAAATGCATTCAATTTCCCACACGAAATGGGGTGTTGTTTGTTACTGGGTGAGAGGGTGCTGGGGCCCTAGAGTTTGTGCAGGGGAGCAGAAGGGTTCCAGGCAGAAAGAGCCCCCAGTGGGCACAGTACTAAAAGGGTCAGCCTCCCGGCTGCTGCTCACCAAGTCGAGCCCCAGCTGGAATCTTACCACACAGGCCCACATGGTGGCTTCTCTTGCCATTTATCTGTCACCCACCTGCAGCCCTGAGTGTGTCATTACAGGGACATGAGTGGGGGAGCACAGAAGGAGCAGCAGCAGGCACCAGGCAGGGGAGCGCAGAGTGTGGGTGAAGGCTTGCACAGTGTGGATGACCCTGACACACAGATCTAGTTGATGCAACAAATGGCAGCTTAGCAAGTGCTTTAAATCAGCTGTGCAAAGTCTCCAGCACAGATATAACTATTCTCACCTTATAGATGGGGAAATTAGGGAGTTAGAGAGGTTAAATGACTTATCCAATGTCACAGAGGCTCCCGGTTACAGGTCTCCCTGTTCCCACTACTCTCTGCTTCCAGACAGGCCATCGGTCCCTGGGTGGTGGCTCTGGACCTGCCATAACCCCTGTTCTGCCCATCATCCCATGCCAGCATGCCCCCTTCACCTGCACAAACTGCTCCAGGGCCCACTGGTCCAGGCAGGTGTAGTTCTCCAGGAAGCGAAGTTTCTCCAGCTGGAACTGGTCCCTGGACTGTGCCTCTGCCTGCTTCTCCAGGAGCTGGAAGATGCTGGCGCCCAGCAGCAGGTAGCAGACATAGGCCAGCAGCAGGGGCAGCACACGGCCACCCCAGCAGCTACAGAGCCCAGCTCGGGGCATGGCGTGGCCGGGACTCTGCCCAGGGTGCTGGGGCTGGTCAGAGGAGGAGAGATGGGAGGCAGGCGAGGATTCCGTGCTCAGGGACCTGCGCCCAGCCTCCTGGCTGCCTCGCCCTCCTCAGCACAGGTGTCTAGAGGCTGGGGAGTCTGTTTGAACAGTGCGGCTCAGCTTGGTTGCACTAAGTGTCTCTAGTGCAAACAGGCCTGCCACCCCCCACCCGGCCCTCTTTTTTTTTTTTTTTTTTTCATGGAGAGCAGCAAGTTAGAGGCATAGACCCCTCAAAGAGACCTACCAGGTCTTCCCAAGGTTATCGTGTCTCACCCGGTGTCTCCAAGCTGGATAGTGTTTCTGGACCAAATACGTTTCCTCCAAACAGTCCGGATCCAATTGGGGTCCCTCAGTAGCCCCCACTATCTCACCCATGACACCTCCAAGCCCCCAAGCTTGGGAGCTGGGAAGAAATCAGAATGGGTGTGAATAAACCTTGTACTCAGTTGCCTTGGCTACAAAATGGGGCTAGGAGAATGGACATGCCTATTGGAAGAATCTGAGGATGAGTAAACTGGGTGACAAATCAGGGCAAAGCAAATAGACAAATGACAGTCACACAAGGAACAGTAATAGGGTTGAAGCTCCTAATAAATGGGACGCGTTCACTTCATAGATTCTGTTGATGATTGTCCTTGCTTGAAATCCGTTAGCAGGTTCCCATAAAGAGAGAGCGGGTTAGTGAGATGCATGTGTGAACAGAAAGGAAGCTAGAAGGGTATCCTGGCCTTGGGGTATTAACAGTGGCCTGCCCTGGACAGGTGGAATCAAGCGTGTTTCCCTTCTTGCTCTTTTTGCTTGTGTGTATACATATTAACAACATTATTGAGATATAATTCACATACTATACCGTGTACACATTCGAAGCACATGATCGAATGGTTTTTAGTCTTGAATGGCTGGCTATCGTCACCTCAAAGAGAAGGGCACCTCTAGCCTCCCCTCCCTCCTGCCCCTGGCACCACTCATCTGCTTTCTGCCTCTAAGGAACCCCCACTTCATCTAGCTGGGATCATACAACATACATCCCTTTGTGTCTGGCTTTTTCAGCCAGCGCAGTTTTGAGGTTCACCCATGTCATATGTAGCATGTAATGGTACTTCGCTCCTCTCTATGACCAAATCATATTTCATTATGTAGCTATATCATGTTTTTTTTTTTTAATCCGTCTGACGGGCAGATATTGGATGGTTTCCACTTTGGGGCTACTTTACATGAAGCTGCTATGAATGTATATCACTCCTTTTGCCTAGGAGTGGAGTGGTTGCCTCATAGGTCACTTCTACTTGAAGTTTTTGAGGAACCACCAGACTGTTTTCCAAAGTGGTGGCACCATTTCCCATCCCTACCATCAGTCTGAGGGGCCAGGGTCTCTGCATGCATTTTCTGTAATGATCTGTGCAGGGGCGGGGGGGGAGCACCCTGCCCCATAGCCTTTCCCTCCTTCCTGGCTAACAGAACCCCTCTCTTATACTTGCTGTCCCAGAAGCAGCTTGACTGGTCCAAACCATGGTGGCAACCCTGCTATCCCCAACTTTGGCTGGGCTCCCCAGGAGCAGCCCTGAAGAGGGATTTGTGTGTGCAGTGAAGTAGGTGAAATACAAGAGGGCTTGGGATAAGCAGGGACACCCTAGGCACTAGAGTCCCTCCCTCCCCAAGGTTCCTGGGGAGCCCTCAGGGTACACATGCAGTATGCTCCAAGGAGAGACGGGGGAGCTGGGCCTTTATGTTCCCACACTAGCCAGTCCCAGTGTCTCTGGCTCTGTGCACCTGCAGGCAAAGCATTGCCGGTGACCAGGGCCAGGTCAGGTTTGGGGCAGAGTTGTCTGACCTTGACAAAGGGTCACCCCCACTCGCCTTACCTTGCCCTGTCTCCCTGAACGCTCAGGTGGCTGGATGGGCTAAGCCATCTCAGGTCTGCAAGGGAAGGGTCAGGTGAGCATCTTTGTGATCCCTAGATCTTGTCCCTAGATCTCTTTTCATGTTAGAAACATAAGCCTTATTTGTTTAAGCCGCTGTTGGGTATGTTGTTACTCCGCAATGGTTACGTGAGTTTCTTTTTCTGTTTCTAATTGTTCAAGGCTTATTTGGGTTGGAAGCAATAGGAGCACATGCCAGTTATCTCAGGTAATCAAAATAACCTGTAGTAGGAAGCCAGGAGCAGCCAGGGTTCTGGAACAACCAGGCCACATGCTCACTCTTAACCCTCTATTGTTAACACGTCCTGTCGCTCCCCTGAGGGGCGCACCTTCCTCTGGTCCCAGCATAGAATCTCCCATCTGTTCTGTGCCCCTCCCCTCTCTCTCAGCCTTGGAGTTCTCCTCCAGCCTGACCTCCTGGCACATGCCAGCACCTGCTCCTGCTGCCCTCTGCTTTGTCTCTGCGAAGGCTGAGTAGCCAAGAACATCTTCTCCCATGGCCACTTCACAGGTGTCTGGTGTCCTTGGGTCAGGCAGCCTCTCTGCTGTCTGGTCTGGAGATGGGGTGAGAGCATTCCATTCCAGGTGCCACCATGAAGGGTGAGCATGTCCAGGACAAGCAGCCATGGTTTCTGGTGGCGCTATCAGGCTCTCGCCAGCCACTGCAGCATGAATTCCATCTCCAGCCAGGGAGCCACCCACATGTCACAGCAGACCTCTCCTGTCTCGGCCGCTGCTCCCCTCAGCAGTGTATTTCAGTAGATCTGTATTTCTGCTCCCCACTCTTTCTGGTGAATCCTCTCACCACACCCCACGCCGCCCCTGCACCTCTGGCTTACACCCCAGTTCTTGTATGCATAAATAAATATAAAAAAAGAAAGGGGGCGTATGGGAAGGAGAGGGAGAGAGACTGACAGAAGATGAAAGCAAGGGGAAGAAATGTACTATTTGCAAGTTCAGTATCCTCCCTTATCTGTGGTTTTACTTTCCTCTGTTTCTGTTACTGTGGTTAACCGTGCCCCAAAATACTATATACAAAAAGATTTTGAGAGAGAAACCATAGTCACATCACTTCTCTTATAGTGTATTATATTTGTTCTATTTTAGTTGCTGCTGTTAATCCCTTACTGTGCCTAATGTAGAAATTAGACTCTATCTTGGGTATGTATGTTTAAGAAGAAATGCACACATGGGCTCTGCAGTTTCAGGTACCTGCTGGGGGTCTTGGATGAGGAGGCACCAGTGTTTGTGGACGACCAAGAAAGAGGCGGTGACTCAGGCCTCTTCATGTGTTCTAAGGCCAAGACCAGGACAGTAACAGGCCACCTAGGCCCATGACTGCAGCAGGGTGTGGAGGCCATCCCAGGGGGCCACTGTAAGGAGCATTGAAGGGGCCAAGCTGTCCTGTGGTTTAGGTGGGGCCTGTCGGGGCGGCAGCCACCTGCTCAGCAATGCTGGGGCCTGGGCTCCCTATGCTGCCTAGAGATCCAGCGTCGTCCCAGGTCATCCTCATTCCCAGCATCCCAGAGGGCCTGCTGAGTGTGGGGATGTTGGTTTGACTTGGAGAGAAAAAAACAGCACCTGGAGTCACAAAACTTGGCCTGGACCAGTTTTTATGTTTTGGGGACTGGGTGACAGTCTTGGCCACCCTCGCGTCACTGCAGACTCGGCTCCGGTTGTCGTTATGCCCGCAATGCCGCGTGATAATCAAATCCTATTTTATTGCATGCACATTGCTCACTCTCTGAAGAGGTCTCTCGCTCACCATTTAGGAAACTTGTCTGCTGTTGTCGGGGGATCTCAGGTAGGACTTAGCAACAAGCTCGTTAGCTCTGACCCGTCTGGCCACCATCCACAGGTCACAGCGGTTGTTCTAGGCGGAGGGGGATGAAGGGAGAGAGGATGCACTATCTGCATGGGAGAAAGGGGTGAACACGTTGGGCCAGAGGGATGCTGCCAACTGGGGTGCGGAGGGCTAGGGCAGCCATCACAGGGACTCCTTCCCTCAGCACCTGGGCGGAAAGTGGTCCATGACTAGGGTGGGCAAAGCGCTACCTTCATTCAGGAACTACACCTACACAGAACCCACTCAGAACCTGCTGTGTGCTGGCAGTGGTGGACACAACTGTAGGCACCCCATCCTTTCCTGGCGGCCCTCCCCCTTCTGGTGCGCCTCCCTCTCTGTTCTCTTCTGGTTGCCCACTCGTCTCCTCCTCTCACACTCAGGTGTCTGAAAACCACCCAGAGGCTGGTGTTACCTGACTGGACTTGGGACAGTGTCTTTTTCAGGAGCACTTCTGATTTAATGGGGGACTTGAGAAGACAGGGCCAAAGAATGGTAACATGATGGTGGAATCGGTGGAGGGATCTCAACTCAAGAGATCCTCAAAGCACACTGTCTCCTCATCAATACTCACTTCAGGTGCTGCCTGGGTGAGCTTCTTTTTCTGGTCAGCTGTGGGTGGCCTCACTTGGCCAGGTTGAGGGGGGAACTCCCCTGCCCACAAAGGTCTTGTGTCCCTGCCCAACTCCTCCCCACAGGGGGACACATCCTTAGTGAGAGATGGATGGCCCCAGGGCATGATTTATAATCCCTTTCAGGGAATTATTGCTGCTAATGGGCAGAGCCAATTTGTGCTCCCCAGGGGGAGGGTAAAATCAATTAATGGAGAGTCTGACATAGCCAAGCCTGATGGCAGAGTGTGGCCTGACATCCGGCAGTGATAAGGGACTTTCTGAGGCTGAACTAATAAGGAGATTGGAGGAAAAAGAAGAAAAACAAAACCCCCCTAGATCAATTTCATGTACAATGGGCAGAGAATTCAGAGTAAACAGAGCAGCCGGGCGTTGGGGCCTCTTTCCATCTGAGTGAGCCCCGAGATAAGGAAAGGACAGGCCGCCCACCCTGCCATCCAACATCGGTATTTGCTGATGGAGTCACTCAATAGGCACATATCCGCACAAATGAAGAAGGGCGCTTTTCAAGCCGGAACTGAGGGGAGAAGATAAGGCCCACCTGCCCCGGGTGCGTCCCCTGCAGGGGGAAGGGCAAGCAGAGAGCAGGAGCCTTGGTTAAAGTCCTGCCGCCCTCCCCAGCCCACCTACTAGACAGGATCTGGGGGCTGAGGGACAAGTTCTACACATTGGTCTGGGCTATGGAGGTTCCCAGCAATGGGGGTGTAGGAGAATCTTCTGTGTGGGGGCTGGGTGGTGCAGGTCTCCAGGACCTGCCCTCAAGGCCAGTGAGTGTGATCTCCAGAGAGGAGATCAGATCTCTGGCCAAGATGTGAGTAGCAGAGGGGTGAGGGGTGAATCCAGGGAAAGGCTCAAAACAAACAAACACACCTGTTACTGACCTTATTGAGAAATTGCCATTGCTTCTTAGACCAGCATGTGAAACCTTTCTCACATGAAAGCTTCCTCATATAAAATATTTCCCTGGGACCCAATAGGTAGCACAGTTAAGAATGGGTCTCTGGGTGAAGTTGGGGCTTCCCACTTTCACCAGCCCAAAGAGCGGATTACAAGAGGTCCCTCCCCCTAAGATTCTGAAATAGATGACCTTGCCTAAGTTGGACTTAGAACAGACCTTGAGGCAAAATTTGGGTGGGGGTATTTCATCTGGAAGGTTATCCCAGGAAGTTATCCCAGCAGAGGGGGGATGCCAGGTGGATGGGAAGGCGTTTGGTACAGGCTGTGCTATTGAGAACGCCATAAGCATGAGGCCTGGGGCCCCTGGGCATATGGTCAACCCCAGGCATGTGCTACAGAGCACTCTGTGAAGGAAGAAGGGGGAATGAGGCTCACATGGGGCCTGGTCTGGACTAGAGGTGGCCCACATGGATGATGTTGTTGGCAATGGCAGGTCCCAGCACCAGGGGGAGGCCTGAAAACCTTCAGGCACTTTAAATGCAAGGTCCTCTGAGGCACCGCTGAACAGATCTCCTTGCCTGGGTCAAAGAAGGGTGCTGGAAAAGGCACACCCAAAAGACATTTCAGAGAAGAGACAATAGATGACAATAGTGTCTCACACCTGGGACCAGAGTGGGGATGGGGCTGGTCTGGGGAAGGAAGGCTGGCCTTCTGGAGACATGGAGTTGAGTGAATTGAGAGGAAGGAGCACTTAACTAGTTTCCTGCCTGTTCTTTGCTCTGAGTTTACTGTCAATGTGCATAAAATTGGTTCAGCCCTGTGGGTTGGCGCTTGGCCATTAAAACCCCAAATAAAACAGTCAGCACTAAAGTTAACCCACCCGCTCCCTTGCCGAATGAAGCATCCAGGGTCATACCCAGAGGCCACGTCTCATATCCAGAGTTTCTCATTTCACATACACACTGATAACTTTCTACATTCACAGCCAGCCTTTCCACACCTCCTCTGTCTCAGAGGTCTGGCAACCCCTGCATACACGCCACAGAATACTCTAGACCCCCTATTCTCACAAGACCCAAATTCCAAGAAATCCCCTATTTGTCATGTTCTGTGTTTCTCTTCAGCCGCTCAGCCCTACCACTGAACCACCACCCTGGTCCTAAGCCTTCCTCTGCTGCCTTCCTCTCTATCCCCACCCCAGCTCCACACTCATACCCACCTGGACGGGATCCGAGCCCCAAACTATCCCACCCCCAGCTCCTTAGTTCAGATTTTCTTGCTTATTTTTCACTGTCTGAATCCCTATTTGTAATGTAAGTTCCCCAAAGGCAGGCCATTTTTCCTGGTTACCACCGACTCATCAGAACTTAGCACAGCGGGTGGGATGTCATTGTCAAAAGAATGACCCGATGAATGAGTAGCGCTTACACTTATGGAATCCCAAGGGCATCTTTCTGCCTATATTTTAAACACACATCCAGAGCATTTGAAAAATGTCCTCGTCTAGTTTATCTATCAACCTGGTCATTCCTGAGTCGGTTTCTATTGCTATTGATTGGTTTTTCTCCTTTGCGTCCTATTTTTCTGCTTCTTTGCATGGTGATTTTTTTAATACTGCATGCCGGATATGGTGAATTCCACGTTGTTGGCTGCTGATTTTTTTCTTTATTTCATGTGTTCATTTATGCATTTTTGAGCTTTGTTCTGTGACTGAACTTTCTTGAATCCTACTGGAAACCGTTGGACTCCTTTGAGACTTGCTTTTTAAGCTTTGTCAGGCAGAAGCAGAGCAGTCCTTATCTAGGGATGGCTTGGCCCCACTTTTGAGGCAACTGCCTGCTGTGTTTCCCGACCACTCTTGTGAAGAGGTTTCTCCATTCTGGCTGCTGAGACGTGAACTATTCCCCAGCCTGGGCTATCTCCAGACATCATTCTGCCTGCTCCTTTCTGGTGGTTCCTCCCCCAGCCTTGGGTGATTTCCTCACGTGTAAGTATTAATTAGCAGTTGGCTGAAGATTCAAGAGCGCCTTCTTCAGAGCTCCAGAGGTGGCCCCTTTCCCCCTCCTTCTTCCTCCCTTCCTTTTTCCTACCTCCCCCCTCACCCATTTCCTCCCTCCCTGCCTGCAGCTCACTCATTTCTGGCACTACTCTGCCTTGCAAATCTAAGCCACCTTAACCTCCTTGAACTCCCTGCTCCAATTCCTCAACTCAAGGAAACTGCTAGGCACCCTGGGTTCCCCCTTCCAGAACTGCAGCTCGAACATTTTGCAGGCAGTAAGTTGGGCAATCCTAGGGCTCACCCCATTTGTTTCTCTTCTCTTAGGATCAGTGTCCTGTTACTGTTTTATCCAATATCTGAAAGCAACCACCTTTTGCCTAGTCTCCAGTTATCTAAAGCTGGAGGGTAAACCAGGGCCCATGGTGCTGTCATGGCCTTAGTCTTTCACATGCCACCTACTCTCAAGTGCCTTTCAACAAGCAGCAGGAAGAGGCAGAATGAATTTTGAGATAATCTGGATCTGGTCATATGCTGTGTTTCAGTTTCTCTCTCAGATGGCTATTGCTACAATTAATGGTGCATAACAAACTACCCTAAGTCTCAGTGGCTTACAACCACAGCATTTATTCTCAGGGGTCAGCTGACCCAGACTGGGCTGAAAGGCTTGGTTCCATGATGCAGGTTCGGCTTAGGTCTGTTCTTTCTATGTTTTGGGATGCAGGCTGAAGAAGCAGCAGCTACCTGGGGTTGATGGCTGGAGTGCAATGGGCAAGTTAACTAAGCAAGTACTTTTCAAGTCTCTGCTTACATAACATCTGCTGACCTCCCATGGGCCAAAGCAAGTCACAGGACAAAGCCCAAATTGAAGGCGTAGGAAAGTAAGTCCCCATGAGATCATGGCAAAGCTTTGGATGGATAATTCTATTACAGGGGTGAAGGATTAAGGCTAGTTATCTAATCTACCACAGTTTCTCTGTCTGCATTCTAAATTCTCACTCCCCCACTTCTTTTTGCAAGATCCCAGCAAGTCACATGCCTACCAAGGGAGTAGCAGAGCCAGTGGAACCCTAGTTAAGAACTGGGCTGCAGGCACTGGCCAGACTGCTTTCCTGAAGGCATTTTGGCAAGCTCCATATTTAGGCCTGCAGTGCACACAAGTATTCTTGATTTCCATGGCTCTAGGGAGCCCAGCTGCACTGCTGGAGTCTCTTCAGAACTTTCCATTCATTTCTCCCATTCACAGAGGCCAATGAACTTTGGGTACCATGCACTGCCTTTAAGCAGGTGTCCACATTAAAGGCCCAGCTTCCATAGGGGACTTTCAGAGGGCACTTCAGAGCTGATGGCTCCCTTCCCGGTTGCTGCTCATACTTTCCCTATGATCCCCTCAGCAGGACACCAGTGTCTCAAGATTCACCAGCTACTTTTGTTCTCTCTGTTTCCACTTCTGCCTTGTAATGCTCCAGGAGGCCAGTTCACACCCTGCATACACATCAATAAGGCCTTGGATCCAGGAGGTAACTTCTCAGTGGGAGATCTAACATCAATAGATTAACCAGCTCTGGAGGGCCAGGGCACAGAAGGCATGCCAGCAACATGGATGTTTTTTTTGAGGGACTCTGCAAACTCTGTGCTATCTCGGGACTCCCGACAGTGTGTGTACATTTGCATGTGAGCCCCATTGATGCTGGGGGAGGCCCCTAGAATCAGGCTGTAAGGGCTCTGTGTGGCCTTCCCCTAGTTCTACAGATTTTATTGAGGACTTACTACATGCCATAGAACTGTGAGGGCCAGAAGTGGACCAGAAACGCCACACTGCCCCATGGGCTCAGACACGGAGCCAGAGAGAAGCCTCAGGGAGACACCAGGAGAGCTGCATTCTGCCTCTGTTGCTTGGTAATTGAAGGACTGTCTAGTACCGACTTGTGCTGGGGGCACAGTGATGTCATGGAGCTTTTAGTCTTGTGAGGGGGTTGCAGGCCACAAAAAAGCAAGCAGATAAAAAGAAAGCTGATTTGTCAAGTAGTGATGAAGAAAATTAAAATAGAGTACTGGCTTAGCTAGATGGGCTGGTCAGGAAAAGACCCTTAAGGTGGGGACATTTGCCACTAACTAGAAGTATATCAACAAGCCAGGGCTTTATCTTTGTGTCAGTTTTCTAATGATAAAGACGGGGTATGGGTTAGAGGTGGTCTGTGGACATGTCAGCTTTGAAATGTAAGGACCTTATCTTCTCTGGCACATGATCTTTGACCTAGACCTCAAATGGAGGTGGGTGGAGATGGGGGTGAAGAGCCAGTTATATTGTAGTTCCTCTCTGCTCTCTTGCCAGGGTGGCAAGATCTTGCATTTATAGACAGATAAAAAAGTAGTGGACAAGCACTTTTATTCCATTGCTTCATTTCCAGGTGCTGCTCTCCCGTGCCCCGACTCTCGCAGTGCAGCTGACTTGGCACCCTGCCGCCATGCCCGCATACAGGTGGCAGGTCTCTGGGGCTGGCCCACCTTCCACAGGATCTGTATTAGGGAGCTGGCATCTGGGGTGCGGGAGGTTCTCCAAGACAAGACCCTGGGCAGCTACTCCCCCCGTGGGTTTGGGGTGTTTCAGCTCAATCCTGTAGCATCCCAAGTGACTGGGTAAGGTTGGGAGGCCCAAGGAATTCACAATGCTCCTCTCATGCTCTCTGCAAACTCCTGGAAGCCATCCACTGCTCTCTGGGTGCTGAAGTGTCCTTAGACCCTGCAGGGTGTGTGTGTCCTGGAGATACCGCTGGTTCACGTGCTGCCTGTGGGCCGTCAGGGTGATATGGGCGGTGTGGTCTGGGGGCTGGCCATCAAGATGCCCTGTGTTTCACTGCCTTGCTGTGGCTCTGACCTGCTGGCCTGCCCAGTTATTCCTAGGCTTCGACACTAGGGGATGGGGCAGGGGAGCAAGCTGGTACAGAGCTAAGAAATAGCCCATTATCCCTGCCCCTGCATTCCACCAGTGAGAGTCTCCCTTCCTCTACTTTATTACGGTTTCATTTCATGATGGTTTATAATTGTGTATGAGAAACACTACTCCAAGAGTGAGCAGAAGCCCTTGTCTTGCCCTTGGCATTGCCTGATGCTGGATCCTGTCAACAGAGCTACAGCAAGGATGGCACCACCAGCCCAGCCTCAGCCTCCCTGGCAGCCTCCAGAATACCACCCATAAGGAATGGCGAGCCCTCCATTGGAATCAAGTCACCAGTTGCTCCCAGCAGTCCACCGATCATTGCAGCAGGCAGGGCCAGCGAGAGGAGGTGCCTGCATCTGTACTCCAGTCTTAGGCCACCAGGAATGCTGGATGCTAACTGCAAATTCAATTGTTTCCCAAACCTGAAAGGAGACAGTTTGTTCTTGGTTAGGCTGTGCAAGGTTCAGAGGGTGAGGGGACGAGGTGCCACGCCCCTTGCTCTCAGGCAGTGCCCCCTTTAGGGCCCTGATGCCTTGGGTTGCCTTTGCTCCCCAAGTTGCAAAGGAAGATGCACCTTTCCCTTTGCAAAAGTTTCATCACTCTGAGCCGCAAGGTTTTCAAAACACCCCTACTTAATTCACAGAGAGTCTTCCTTTGCCTTTTCGCTCCAGATAGTAATTATATTCTGGCACGGTGCTTCCTGATTACGTGGCTTTACCTTGTCACCTCCCATGGCTGCACATGGAAAAGGTTCTCTGGATTAAGAACTAGGCCCTTTGAGTTTTAGCCAAGGATGGGCCTTCAACCCAGTGAACACTTTTGGGTAAATCATGTTAGTTCTCTGGGCCTTACTTTCCTCAGTTCCAAATCACTGGAGCAGGTGAGGTACCTGGACAGAGCAAGGTAATTTCCCAGAGTGAGGCAATGCTGGCGTCCCACCTGAACTCACTGGACATGATTCTGCATTTTTAACAAAACTCCTAGGTTCCTTGGAAGGAGAACGGGTAGAGTGACATTCTGGTATGAGTGGCAGTTACTTTGGTGGAAGTTTGGCTATTATAAGAGTAAAAGGGAATTTCTGAAGATTCCCAGATGGCGTGATGAATACAGTGCTTTAAAAAATCACACTAGACAGAGAATTTGAAGAATGAGGTAGCTGCAGCAGTTGGGGAGTGGCCTCGGGGGACCTGGGTGTGGCCATGGGGATCAGGGTGGGATTGTGGGCGTGGCCTGCTTGACACTGGAGAGAATGGGCTACTCTCCAGGAGGACACGCTGAATGTGGGAGGTAACAGGGGGAAGTGGTTGAAAACAACTCAGAAATTCCTCTAGATCTTTCTGTGTGGGTCTTGCTATTTAATTAAATAGACATGGTTCTTATTTTTAAGATGTTCCTAGCTGTTCTAACTGAATGTCAGGGCAGGAAGGCACCCTAGAGCACATGAAGGAGATGTGTTCTGGTCACTGTGGCCCAACAGTTTGCACTTGCTGCATGCTGGAAACCCTGGGAGACCCTTTAGAAATCCTGATGCCCAGGCCACTCCTGGGACAGCTTTGCAGAATCTCTGCAGTGGGCCCTGGTCATTCTGCTCCATTGACTAGCAGCCTGGGTCAGAATTAGTTACTGCTGCCAGGGAAGCAGCAAGAAGAGTGTGAGTCAGTCACTGCCCTCCATGAACGTGCAGTGATGGCTGGGGAGGGGGTGCTGAGAAGCGCTGCAGAGCAGAGCTCAGAGTCCACACTCCAAGACAAGATCCCTCACGTGCATGGCTTGGACACAAACTAAACGTCACAGATTCTAGCTCATCCTTACTTTAAGAACCTTTAGATGCTGGAGCTGCATTGGGATCTTGTGATTGGCTTTGCAGGGGAGGGCAATGCTACAGGTAAATCATTAAAGCCTCATACCTCACTGGGCGGGGCCAAGCCTCACCACAAGGCCAACTTCCCTGCCCCATTCCCTGGTGGTTGGCGGTTGACCAGGGATTTCTATGGACACGACCTCAGGAGAGGCTGACCGACTGGGTGAGGATGGAATATGAACTTGCCAGACCTGAGCGGGAGGTGGAGAAGGCGACCTGCCCAAGGTCACACAGGGCCGAGATAGCACTTGCATGTAGCTCCGCTGCCTCCCCTGCTATGTTCTCTCCATTTTCTGGGGAAGTCTCCTGAGCAATGGAGAGAGCCTGGAGCTTTCTCAGAGTGGAGATGGTGGGGCTGGGGCACTGGGCAGAACCTCTTCTTGGCACTAGCTGGAGAAGAGGCCATCGTGGTCACGGCGGTCCCACCCAAGTTCCTGTCTAGATGGAAATACTTCCAAACTCAGAGACAGGAAAATTAAAAAAAAAAAAGCTCAATCGAGGTTAACCTCATTTTCTCAGATTTTAAAGCCATCCCTGGCAGTTAGAAACAGCAGATTTGACATCGTGGATGACTAACGCTCCTTCCGGGGGAGATATACCTGTCCACATGTGCCCCTGGCAGGGATTTAAACGCTTCCCCAAATCCTAAATCATGTAGATTCATCCTGGCCCTTGGCGAAGGCTAAGAGCCAGCGGGCGAGGCTTATGTTAAATCACCCTCTGTGGGCTCCTGTTCCCAGGCTGATGGCCACAAATTCCCCATAATGAGAGCTCATGAAGAAGCCCAGACCACAGCGTCACTAAATTAAGAGCAGAGGGAGCCCAGGGCAGGGGAGAAGGAAGTGTTTGCTTTGGCTGGGGAAGGTGCCGGCCGGGCCTACGTGTTTGCTTGGCAGGGCAGCTGATAAGTGGGCTGCGCAGAAAGTGCTGCATGGAGGCACCCGGGCCATCTGCTGAGTCCCCAGGGCTGCACCTGCTGGCCCTTCAGCCCCGACCTAGGACCCGCGTGTCACCCTGTCTTCAACTTCCTTTGTGGGTCCATAGTCACTAAGAACCCAGGATTATTTTCCTTCCCTTAAGAATAAAAATAGAACCCTCCCACTTTTGTTTGTTTTGATAAATTATTTCCAGGTTGCTGTTTGTTTGGAGAACAAAGCTTCCCAGCTTCAGGGAGGGTGAAGGCCAAGAACCAGACACTCAGACAGCGGCGTGGCTTTGCAAGACAGTGTGCCCAGGGGAAGGAGTGCAGAAAACCTGGGTCATCCTGGCTCTGCCATCATTCAACCTCTATGTGCCATGGTTTCCTCACCTTGATCAAAAGGGAGCTCAGACTCTTGGCTGTGCATACCATACAGGAGTGTAAAAGCATCACATGGAATGATGTAAATGAAAAAATTTTGAATAGGAACATGCCATGCACACGTTAATAAAAGCCCCCAGGCTAGCTCTCCCCACTGGCTGGGCATGGGGTGGGCAGGTAGACCACTTCCTGACGCAGACTTCGGGCAGTTGCCTCTTCTTTGAGAGGTTAGTGATAACATCTCTATTATGTGTACAAAAAGCTGAGTAAATACAACTCAAAGTCAACACTTACTTGTAGACAGTTGACTTATGAATTGTTCCAGGGGATGGGGTCTGCCCCCCAAAAAGCCAATGCTCCTTCCAATTATGTCCCCTCACTGTCCCCTCTCACTTCCTCAAAGGAAAAAGGATTTTCTCCTTTGGTTTTGGTCCACTTTCCACATCATCAGTTTCCTTCTTTCAGTATATAAACAGGTCTTTGTAACCGTTACAACAAAACAAAACCCTCCTTCTCTCAGCAGGCTGCTTCCCTTTAGCACCAGTTTTCTTTCTCTTCACACCTACGCTCCCTGGAAGAGTTGTCACCCATTGTTCACTGTCACCGACCTTCCTCTCCTCTCCACTCCAACAGGGCTCCCATTGTCCCAGCCCCTTGGTTAAATAAGGGGGCACTTTCCGGGAGCGCCACACCATGCAAAATGGTCAACGTGTGTCCTTGTTTACACCACCCCTCAGCAGCGCTGGCTCTCCTGGCCTGTTTCCCCTTGGGCACTGTCTCCTGCAGACCTGTCCCGGCCACCTTCCTTCTCCCAATGGCCCTTATTTCAGCCCAGCTGAGCTCAGCGTCTGTGGTTGAATCTTCCCATCTCCTGCTAAAAGCAGTAGTGCCCCAGGAATCTGCTGCCAGCAACTGGAATGGCTCAATGTGCTCTCTTTGAAGTCAATTTTAGCCAGCCCCATGCATGGTTTCCCACACCATCCAGAGGTGAGAGGCCCAGATTTATTTTTCCAAGCCAGACTTCTCTGCTGCACTCCAGACAGACTCAGGGTTAGCTGCCTACTCAACATCTCTGAGATCTCAGATGTTCACATGGGTTCACCAGAACCCTTAAATTCTCCACCTGCTTCCCTCTGGTGCACACTCTCTCTTCCATCCTCATTCCGGGAAACGGCACCACCATCCTCTCAGCTACTCAGATTGGAAGACCAGTAACCCCTCTTGGCTCGCCTCGTTCCCCCACATCTCACGCCCAATTTGTTGGCAAGTGGCTACCCTTACCCCTTTCCTGGACCTTCCTAGGGCTTAGTAATCCCAGTAAGGATATATTTACCACATCTAGAACTTTCTAAAGGACCAATCAGGTCAACCACAACATGGTCTAAATTCTGCACTGAGTTCCTACTACATTTGGCATAAAAACCAAGGCCCTTGCCTTTGCCCACAAACCCATGTCATCTGGCCCCTGCTCTCCAGTTCAGTCCTCCAGCCACTTTGACCTTCTCCCTACTCTCCAGGGCTGTCCACTTTCTGCTTAGTTCACTCACAGTGTGGCTGCTCCATGCTCATTGTTCAGCTATCAGTTTGAAGCTCTCTCCAGAAAGGCCTCCCCACCCAGCCAGCTTAAACAGTCTTCCCGGTTGCTCTCCACAACACTACACATTTTAGCTATTTCATATAGCACCTCACATGATCTCAGATCTTAGGTATTTGTTGATATTTACCTTCCATCTCCTCCAAATGTCTATGTTGGACTCTGTCTTGTTCACTACTACAGAGCCTGATACATAGGTGGTGCCCAATAAATACAGGGTTTGTTCACTGACTGTTCAGTGCTGTCCAGTGTCTGACACATACAGGGAATTTTGGGGATAGACAGGGCCTTGGAAATCACTGAACCCAAATCAACTTTTTCATTCTAGACAAGGAAACTAAGGGTGAGAAAGGGGCAGTTAAGTGGCCGAGTTGTCATAGTAGGTTGGAGGCAGAGCTGACCTGTCTCAGGCCTTGGGAAAGCCCAGACAATGGTGCTGTTGGTGCTGAAGAGAGAACGGGAACAAGGAAGCTGGCGGTCCAGCAAGGGCGCCTCTTAGCTGCCCACAAAGGCTACGAGGGAAAGGCCACCCGTCATGTGCGGGGCTCTGTCTGTGTGCAAACCTCCTCTGTCCAAACCGCAGGGAGGTGGTTAAGTTGAGTGGAGGCTCCTCAGGGCATGTCAGTCAGTCTAGGATCACAGCCTGCTGCTTCTTGTTGACAGTGCGAGCATGCTAGGCCTGTTTGGTAGCTCTTGGATTGCTGGGGTGAGGCTAAGACTAAAAGCAGACAAGGGGCCCCGGGGCTGGCCCCTGTGCGTGTCTGGGGAGGAGGAAGACAGGAGGAGAGAAGGCCTGTTCACAGCAGATGGGCAGCTGCCAAGAGGAAGAGGGGGCAGGTCAGTGACAAAGGCCGGGAAGGGCCTTCTCTTTCCCTTCCTGTTGTCTAACACACCGCACATATATCTTTCGTGGCTGTTACATGGCCCTTCAAGTGGTGTTTATACCTACCACTCACCGGCAAGAGTCACGCACTGGTAGGAACCTGGGGTTCAACCAGTTAGCAAGCCATCACTCAGCCCCTTCCTGTTTGGAGAGGGCTGAGCAGAGGAGAGCTGCCTTTGGCAACAGAGAACAAAAGTTGCTGAGGATCTGGAAGGGGGGTGGAAGAGAAGATGGGCCACCACCCCTTTGGTCCTGTCTTAGTGTTTCTGATGTTCCCTCTGGAACTTTCTACAGAAAGAAGCAGAGGCCAAGCACATGTGATGTAATCGCAAAGCCAGTCCTGCTTCCTTTCACCTCATTGCTTGCTCCAGCCTTGGCCCTTGGCACCCCCCTCCACTCCCAGCATTGGCAGACAAAGTGGGGTGACCTGTGGCCCCCAAGGAGCCACAGAGAAGATGCACTTACATTTCCTCTGTAGAATGTTCTGTCTGGCCTTGATGAATGCCAGAATGTCGTTGTCTGTCTGTCTGTCCCCCGTGAGAGGGATGGATGACGCTGGTCTCTCAGGGCTGCCGGGAACAAACACGTCCTGCTTTAGTACGTTTGGCCTCAGCACTTACCTTGCCAAAGAGCTTTTCCGTGTGCAGTGACTGGCTCTCACCCAGGGCACTGGGCGCCTGCAGCTTGCCTCCTCTCTCCTTCACCTCTGGGCAGCAGCCACTGAAACACTTTCACACGCAAACGTGTCATGTCCTTCCATGCTTAGCGCTTACTGGCCTCTCACCACTCTTGAAATGGAGTTCAAACTCTGTCCCTGTGTGGTCTGGCCAATGGGCCACCCTGACTTTTGGTTATTCAAATACACTAAGTTTCTTCCACCCTCAGGCCCTTTGCTTTTGCTGCCTCCTCTCCTGGGTGCTCTTCCCAAGACCCTTGCATGGCCTAATGTGTTTTCTCTCACCACCCCTCCCTTCCCCATCCTCAACTTACCCAAACATAGGCCATTCTACAGGGGGCCTAACTGTCTCCTACAACACTCGGCTTACACAGCATATCATGTATCTCTCCAGTGTGCCCCCAACCATGGCTTAGTTAGGTGCTCCTGAAGCAGAGATAACCATTCTCCTCTTTTTCATTAGTAACAGAACCATAATATTACTGAGTAAATTGCCACAGCTAAAAAAACTACATTTCCCAGCCTCCTTTGCAATTATGTATCCTTAATTGACCAGGTTCTGGCCAATGAGATTTGTAAGAAGTGTTATGTGGATTGCCAGAGGATCCCCTTAAAAGCAGAGGGATGTATGTGCCCTTCTCCCTCCTTTATTCCCATCTAATACCTGTAGATAAAATCCCCTTAAGAAAATTCAGAGCAGGGCCTCCACTGGTGATGCAGCGGTTGGGTGCTGGGCTGTGAAGCTGCCCGCAGCCTCTGCAGCACCGGTTCAATCCCCAGCCGCCAGCGAGGGTCCCACATGGCGCACAGACCTCTCTTGCTGCCTGCTGCTCCCCTCAGCAGTGTATTTCATCTGTCTGCCTGTTCTGTTCCCCACTCTGGCTCTGGTGAATTCTCTCACCCTCCTGCGCTTCTGACTGTACCCGGTGCTTGTATAAATAAATAAATAAATCTTAAAAAAAGAAAGAAAATTCAGAGCAATGCACACTCTGGCTTTGCCAAGCATCTGTCCCTCCACCAGCAGGTAACATTCCCTCAGAAGGCAGTGGGGAGTAATAGGGGGCTGTTCATTATCACAAGTAATTTTCTTGCCAGTTTTCCAGCTGCAACTTAATGAGAAGCGCTAAACGGGGTTTGTGGAGGGAGACAGGGAGCCTCGTTAGAGCTCTTCATTCTGTCTGGGGGCCAGGGAGTGGCAATTGGTGGAAGTCACCCTTGGATGACCTTGGGGGGGAAAAGGCAGGGCCCACAGGCATTCAGTCACAGGGCAGAAAGGGCACATGCTGGGGAGCGGCCTCATGACTTTGTTCAGGCTGCTGTGAAAGGCTCATGGTCTTGAGGCCTTCCTGCCTGGAGACCCTGCTGAGGGGATAGTGGGTCATGTTGGAACTGTCCCCGGACTTTGTCTTTAAGGGCTTCTTTTCATTCATGGCCCCGGTACACATCTCTGTCCACTCACAGCCCCAGTGGCCCTGGGAATAATTCCACCACCCTGTGAGTAGGCATTGGTGAGCGATTCCAGGGGATTCCCCGGGTCGCTGGGTGGAGGCCAGCCCTGGGCTCTGTCTGTGAGGCCACCGGACAAGGGACTCCTCGGGTGGTGGGGGAAGCGGCTGGTGACTTAGGTCCACACAGGGGCTGTCACAGGTGTCAGAGAGAGGAGAGGACCACGCACCTGTCCTCCAGGGAGGTGTTGGCGCTGCCCTGCTCCTGGCTGTGCAGGATGGGAAGAGGCGAGGGCAGGGTTTTCCTGGCATTTCCATCACTGCAATTGACAAGTTGACAAAAGCAGAAGGCGTGAGAAGATGTTTATGGGCGAGAAAATCAGGGTTTATAGGTAGGAGCGGACTGAACGCTGTGTCCTCTTCCTTTCCGCAAAAGCAAATTCGTAAGCTGAAGCCCTAACCCCCAAGGTGATGTATCCGGTATTTGGAGGTGGGGCCTCTCTGGCAGGTAATGCGGTTCTTATGAGGCCATGAGGGTGGGGCTCTTTGATGGGGTGAGTGCCCTTATAGGCAGAGGAAGAGACACCAGATCTCTGGCTCCACCACAGGAGGCCACAGCAAGGAGGCAGCCATCTGCACGCCAGGAAGCAGGTCCTCACTGGAAACCCGTGCTGCTGGACCATGATCTGGGACTTCCCGGCCTTGGGAGCAGTGAGGAAGAAATAAATTCCTGTTATTTAAGCCACGTGGTCTATGGTATTTGGTTATGGAAGCCTGAACTAAGACAGGAGCCAAGAGTCCCATCGTGGCTGGTGTCTTGGAGTTCAGGCTGCCACAGCAGAATCCCATGGGCTGGCTGACATATTATGAATTCATTTTCTCCCAGTTTTGGAGGCTGGAAGTCAGAGGTCATGGTGCTAGCACGGGCAGGTTCTCATGAGGGGTCTTTTCTGGGTCACACAGTTCTTGTGCCCTTACATGGTGGACAGAGTGAGCTAGCTCTCTGCCTTTTCTTTTAAGGGCACTAATCCCATCCAGGAGGCTCCACCCTCACAACCTAGTTACTCCAAATTAGGTTAGATTTCAACATATGAATTTAGGGGGGATGCAAACATTTATAACAGATGGTTTATGCATTAATTTTCATTGTTGGAACATTGCAATATTGGCCATGGAGGCTGTAAAAACAACAGGGAACACCACTGTCACTTACAGATGCCATCTACAAACCAGATTTTGGAAAGTATTCTGCAAACATTGAGCCATTTTTCAAATCCTCTCAATAGTATAAGAGGTAGATGTCATTATCTGGATTATACAGATGAGAAACTGAGGTCAATTGAGGTTAGAGAAATTCCAGAAGTCACCCTACCACTAAGTGGTAGTATCAGGATCTAGCCATAACTCGGTGAGGCTTCAGTAATGATGCCGTATGAACTGCCCTAAACTCTGTGGGCCTCTCAGCACCCCCGGAGACACTTGGCTTACTCCTGATCGCAATGACTGCTGCTAGGTGGCTCCGGCCGACCAGCTCTGTGCCCCTGCCTGAAGAGTCAGACCCAGCAGCTCACACAGATGGAGTTTTGCCCATTTGACTAGGATGCCCCAGGAACATGCCTTGCCTGGGTCCCTGGTTGCAATCAGGACAACCCAGTAGTGGACCCTGGTAGGTAAAGAGGCTGTGGTCAAAGAAGCCAGTGATGTGGTGGGATCCTTTGGCTTGCTTTGGGATGGTCCTGCTAGACACTGTGTCAGTGCTGGAGGAGGTCTAGAAAGTCACCTGGTCAGAACCCTCCTTTTACAGAGACACTCAGCTGAGATGTAGGCTAGGGTTGGAGACAGGTGAGTCAGCTTTGCCAAGTCTCCTCATCCAGGCACTCCACAGGCCCCATACCCTGCTCTCCAACCTAGGAATACAGGTCCTTCCCCAGCTCTGGCCTTCTGTCAAACCCCATCTTAGGCAGCAACGGGGCCTTGTATCCTGGCCCTGTCTCCATAACTCAGGACTGTGCGTCAAACAAAGAGAAAGAAAATCAGCACCCCAGACACTCTCCACTGATTCTTAAGGGTCTGCGCTGTCTGGTGAAAGCTGCTGCAGGACCAGAAGTAGCCACAAGGTGGCAGGCTCTGCGCACTTTTCTTTGGCGAGCAGGCCAATTCTCAGAAATCCTAGCAAATGGTTCCTGGTGCCGAGAAGGTAAGAAGGAAGGGCTATCCTTCCTGCAGGTGCTTCTGTTACACCAGGTCAAGGTCAATTCATAAACTAGCAAATCTTGCAGATTAAGTCATTGGCATGCAAATGACTCACTAACTCAATGGTTTCCCAGCAGAACTTTTTCTAAGATTCCAGGGAACATTCACAGGCACAGTATTGTGTGGGGGCATCCAGTACCCTCTGCAGAGACCCAGCTGCCCAGCTGGTCACCTCAATCAGCTCAGGTCAATTGACCTCACAGTGTGAAAGTTTGGGGCTCCTGAGGGAAATGATTCCTCCTCTCTTGAAGTTGCTCATCTGTCCCTGGATGCTACATTTCTCATTCTGAATCCCCAGGATCATACCACAAATAACTTTTGCCCTCTCTTCTGACCAACCACGAATTCATTTCTCATTTTGACATTCCTTGTGGAGAGAGAAAACGCCAGCCACCAGGATTAATGCTCTCTTTCCTAATAAGGATTAATAAGCAATCTTAATGGTAATTAAATCCCCTGGATTGCCAATCTTCTGGATTGCCTGCAGTCAGCTAGCTGCAGGGCCTGGGCATCCTTGGGGTAGTGATGAAATCAGGTTTCTTTGAGAGGCAAGGAGCAGAGGCCAACCCCTGGCCTGAAGAGATTCCGTGAAGAGCATCACTGGAGCTCAGATGCAAACGAGTCTCTCCCTCCAGAAGCTTCCCAGAGTCACCAGAACATGGACCTGCTCATAGAATAGCAACCTTGGAGGGACTTGATGCATCATAGAGTGTGACAAGGGAATCCCAACGTGGAGAACAGGTTTGTCTAAGGGTGCACTACTAGGAAGAGCTATGACAGGCTTCATCTGTCCCAGGGCAAGTCTAACCTGGCAGCACTTGGGAGTAGCCAATGGTGAGCTGATGTGTGCCTTTGAAGCCCAAGGTTCTGAAGGTCAAGACTAAGAATCTCTTGACAAGCCCAACCAGGGATCGTCTTAAGTTGGGCTCCTCAAGGAATGTTGGGGATGCTGAAGCCAGGATAGGCTCTGCTTCTCAGGCAAGTGGAGGCTGAGGGTGGGGGGCACAATCAGCTCCCCCAGTGGTTAGTTCTGGGACCTAGTTCATGGGGGACACTCTCAGAGAAACTGGCAGGTAAAGGCTGGCAGGAGAAAGGACAAAGGAGCAAGCAATGGGGAGTGACAGTCTTGACTATGGGGATTCTGGGAGAAGGGAAAGGAAGTGTAGAGGGAGGCAAAAAAAAAAAAAAAAAAAAAAGGAAAGGGGAATAGAAGGTGGGAATAAAGATAGGGAGAGCAAGAGAACCGAAGGGGTGGAGAAAGAAGGAGTGAAGGACTAGAGAGAGAGGAAAGGAGGGAGGGAGGAGGGGCAGGCCAGGGGAAGGAGTAAAGAAGCATCACTCAGCGTGGAATTGGAGGTTCTGGATTAAACTCTTCTTCACAGGATTAACTACAGAGTTCAAAACCTCACATCCTCTTCTGGGGTTTCCATTTTCTCAGTGACACGAGGGACTATATTCAACAATTCTCAATGGTGGCCGCCAATAGCAGGGAGTCCTGGTTTTCCAGTCACAGGTTGGCAGACTAAGGAGGCACAGATTTGCACTTTGAAAATCCAGACTCCTGTAGAAAATCAGACTGTGGATACATTGAACAGTGGAGGTCCCCAGCAGGGGCATCCGGGGTTGGCAGAATATGGGGAAAGCCCATTTATATGACATGATGCAGAACGTGGACTGGAAAATGACACCTCCTCGTAATCCACAGAGTACATGTGTGCTCCTGAAGGACAGTCATTACATTAAAGGAAGTTCATCTGAGGACTGAGGGGGTGGCTACTTGTGGATGGACCTGGTTCCAACTCTGGGTATACCACCCATGCTGGTGGCCCTGGGCAAGTTAATCGTCTTCTCAGAGCCCATAAAATGGAGATGGTGATGGCACCTACTTGGGGCAATTATGAATAAAGGTGCTATAAACATTCATGTGCAGGCTTAGTTTTCAATACCTCTGGGTAAATCCCAAGAGTATGATTGCTGGATCATATGCTAAGAATATGTTTGGCTCAGTAAGAAACCACCAAGCTGTCTTCCCAAGTGGCTGCACCATTTTGCATTCCCAACAGAAATTAATAAGCGTTCCTGTTGTTCCACATTCTTGTCAACATTTGGTGGTGTCAGGTTCTTGGATTTTAGCCACTCTAATCCATCATGAGAGCTCAGTTCCCATTCAAATCCAGGCAAAAAAAGATGGTCCCCTGTGCAGAGGCCTGGACCCTTCGAGTGCTGCATCCCTAGTGGCAGTGCCCATTCTGAGGAGGGAGGAAGGGGGCCTGCGTCACTGACTCTACCACCTGAGCTGTGTAGTTGGAAAGAGAAATGGATATGGATGGAACGAGAAGGAAGCTGGTTCCAAGAGGTGATATGGAGGGAAGCAGAGTCCCTGATGGATCATCCCATCACTCTGGGCCATCCCCATGGGAGGCTGCCCACATCTCTCCAGAATCTTCACTAGGACAGGGTCTTTTGCTAGCACTCCCCTGATCCTGACTGGCCGACTACCACAGAGCACCCCCCTTCTTCTCCTTTCCCCTCTGCCTCTCTCATGCTACTCTCTTCTCCCACTAGAGCCACCCTTCTTCTTACTCGGGGTGGGGGAAGGGCAGGACCAGGGTGCACAGTTAGCCCTCCTGCATCTTGTTGCCATGGCAATGGGGCTGCCAGCCTGGAACGAGGGGAAAGGGTGGAAGGGTGTGAGCTCCAGCAGGCCTGAAAGACTGACAGTGAAAGTAACTCATCCTCCCGTGTCATGCAGCTTATAAAAGACATTTAGAGCGTTGAGACGGGGTTGAGGAGAGCTGTCAGAAACCTTGCCCTGGGGTCAGAGTTCTCCTCTTACCTTCTGTTAGAGAGAAACTGGGGCTCTCTGGGCGGGGATTCAGGCATTGGTGGGAAGGGCTTCATGGGTTCCAGTGAAGTCGCTGTGGGAGGGTTTACCTGTTGACCCAAGAAGGAGTTTCACAGAGTGAGTGTGAGCCTAATGACATGGGAAAATATCCTGGATGTATTTTTTCAGGGCAAACAGCGGACCATAAAAGTTGGTATATGCCACATATGTGGGAGAAAATAGCTCTAGACATAGCACGGAGCATAATGATGGGCGTGAAAATATTATCTTTGGATGCAGGATTATGGGTAATGTTTGATTTATTCTTTGTGCTTTTCTGGGCTTTCCAAGTTTTCCAAATTGGGCATGTATTCCTTTTTGTAGTTACCAAGTAAAAAAAAGTTTAAAATGTTATCTGACACTTCTCACACGCCCTTTCTGGTTTTGCTTCCCCTTCTCCGGAGACCCCATCAACGCCGGGAGAAATCACTGAGACTTCCCAGAGGAACAGTCCCAGGGTGCCAGGGCAGGGCACGTGCCACGCAAGGTCACGCGTGAGCTAGCCTTCAGGGGCAGCTTATCTGAGTGCTGGAAGATGCCCCAGATTCTCCCCACCACGAACCCCACAGTCATGGAAGCAAGTGAGGAGCTGCTACCAGGCTTTTTGCCTCTTGCTTCCCTCTCCCCAGGAGGTAGTCCCCGGACAGCCTTCTGAGGTGGTCCAAGGCTTTCTGCGATGCCCCACTTGGGGTACGCCCACAGGCTATACCACTGCTGCACAGCAGCCCAGAATGGGTCTTATCTTCCCTGTTGCTATCATCGGATCCCCTTGTGTCAGTTACACCCTGTGGGCTGGAGACCCTTCTGGCTACTCTGGCTCTCATGCTCTATGGAAGTAGTAAACCATTGGAGTCCGTCAGCCTCTCCTGGACTGTCTTTGAACCAAAGGGGTGACCTCGCGTCCACTGTTCCCCGGGTGAGCTCCCCTGAGCACCCCAGTGCCACACTCACGAGGAGGGGTACTTAATTGGAGGTCACAGGTAGAACCCAGGGCACTGTGAACAGGGATCGGAAGCAGTCACATTTCCTTTTCTCCAACCCCCTGTGTGAAAGGCAGCTTTTCTTTTAATGATAAATGTAGACAACAAACCACAGCAACAGTAGCAGTCCCAGGAACACCACCCCGGTAGAAGTCAGTAGAAGTCGTGGCCTGTTTTCAGGCCACATTGTAGTTGTTGCAGGTACCTTGAGATAATTGTGTCCATATTGAGATAATTGTGTCCATTTTGAAATAATGGTAAAGAATGGGCCTACCCTCATTCTTATTAATGCATATGTCAAGTGGTATACATGCTATTGTGCCATATGCTCTGCTTTATTTTTTTTAAAGATTTATTTATGCACACAAGAACTGGGGTACAGGCCAGAGGGGTGTGTGTGTGTGTGGGTGTATGTGTAAGAGGATTCACCAGAGACAGAGTGGGGAATAGAACAGACAGACAGACTGAAGTACACTGCTGAGGGCAGCAGCGGGAGAGTCAGGGGAGGTCTGCTGCGCCATGTGGGTTGCTCCCTGGCTGAGGATCAAACTCATGCTGCAGTGGCTGTGGATAGCTTCATAGTGCTACATCTTAACCTTTTGCGCCACCAGGGAGGCCCTATATGCTTTGCTTTAAAACTAGTTTGATAACCTATTTCAGTCTTACTAGCTTTCTTTGTCATCCTGTGTATTTACTTTTACCTGACTTTCTCTGTTGTCTGGCCACTGGGTCATATGTTGGTTACTGCTTGGCTGTGGGTCGTTGGGCAGATATTATCTCTGGCTCTCTGTTTCCTTGTCCTTAACATAGATGGGTCAGCCTGTTAGATCATTTTGAAGGATTCTGTCAGCTGCACAAGTGATGTGATTATATGTGTGTTTCCCATGAAAGTCAGAACTGCGGGTTTGTACTGACGCTTCTGAACAGGTTCACAGTTGTCTAGGGAACTTCTAGGAATTTGTCTAGGAAATATGCAGAGGTTTATCTAAAAATATGTGCTCAGTATAGACACAACCAAAGTGTGAAATAATAGATCGATGAACTAGATTAAAATCTATCCATCTGATGCTACAGCGCCAGCCACTAGAAGAGTGTTGTAGAGAATGATGTGGAAACACAGTCTGGTGATACCATGAAGGGGAAAAAGTCACTGTGATCCTTGAACAGTATGATTCTATTTTTATAAAAAAATACATGGATAAGAACGCACAGAAAAAAGGATAAAATATAACCCAACGTGTCAGTAGTGGTTACCCCTGAATGGGGGGAATATGGGGATTTTTACTTTTTTGTGTTTTTGTGATTTTTACTAAAATTTCTGCAATATATAATTTCTGCAACATAAAATTTCTGATATATATATATATGACTGTATATATCGTAACTATATATAAATCAGTATTTATAGCATATATTGTAATATGTGACTATAATAAGAAAACAAAAACCAATCAATGCTGTCAGCATGATTCATGGAGAACATCACATAAATCCCTTGGTTTTGGGAGCTACATCTTCTGCTCTTTTCTATGTGGCAGGCACTAGAGCAAGGACACCAAGAGCCCCTGGCCATTTGTGCTCTTGGTTACTAATGTGAGCCCTTGCTTTGTGGGCATCAGGGCCTGTGGGTAGAAGGCTTTTTTTCCTTTGACAGCCCCTTGGGTCCTGCCCTGACATTTTCCTGGGTCCACAGGAGGAGAGAAGGGGACTTTGGGGCAGTGAGGGGCCTATCTGCAAATACCTGCAGGTTGCTGGCCTCCTCCACCCACCAGGCTTCAAACTCTTTCTGCAGCTTCACCTTGGTCTTGTCCATGAGCAGCTGCAAGTGCTCGATCTCCACCTTCAGGGCCTTCAGGTGCTTGAACATGCTTTTGTACCTGCAGTGGAATCAGAGTCTTGAACATCACTGGCAGGGAGGGAGGACTGTAAATGGACTGTGGGCTGCAGGGCCTGTGCCTCAGAAGCCTGGCAGTGCTGCCCTGCTGCCAGGAACTGGGATCCTACAGGACCCCATGGATGCCAGAATTGGGCACTAGGATTTGAGTCCATTGTAGACAAGTAAAATCAAGTGTTTCGTCCTGCATGCTTACAGGGCTCACCCTGCTCTGTGGATGACAACTGCATTATTTTGGGCACTTAAGGGGCAGGCTTTGCTCTTGGTGCTCAACGTAAGCTAAATATAGTCCTTTTCATAACCCCATGAAGAAGATACTATCATTATTACCACCACCACCATCATCATCTCCACTTCAGAGATTTGGAACCCAAGGCATGGAGAGGTTGAGCGACTTATTCTGTGGCACAGAGTTAATAAACAGAGGAGGGATGATTGAACCCAGGCCATATGGTTCTTGAACCACAGTCTTAACCACCTCTGGACTCCATTGGTTCCCCTTTGTGTTGAGCAAAGGCACAGAGCAGTTGTTAATGTATAAATGGGCCTTGGGCAATGAATCAGAAACCACCCAACAGGAAACAGTTGAAGAATCAAACTGGAGAGATGACTTCTGAGATGACACTGAAGTTGGAAATGTGGACCGAGGGGACCGGGTGGGTTGGATTAAAGATAGAATAATGCGCTGCAAACAATGGAGAAAAAGTAATGGAGTGAAGGAGAAAGGACAACCAGGGAGTGAATCTGTGGCCTGGACAGCAATACTGTTAAGTCCTGGCAGGCACTGCAAGGCATTCTGGAAGGAGGATGGTGGCAGGAGGAGACAGTACAGTTATCAGGAGTGACCTGGAGACCAGTTGCATGGGCTGTTCTCTTCATGCCTAGGGATGGCAGCGTTTTGTGAGTGTGTGTGTATGTGTGTGTGCATGGGCGTGTGTGTTGGGACTTGGAGAGGGGCAAGGTTTGCTCAGGGTGTACGCACAACCAGCCCAGAGGTGGCTTTCTTGCACTGATCAGCAACTTTAGGGCAAGGGAAGTGACTAGTTGAGTCTCCTCAAACCTCTCCTTAGTAATGGAGACAGCAAATATTTTGAATGCATAAATGAATGAACGAAGTAAGAGTCTTTACTGGCGCATTGAGATGGGTGACCATGCTGTGCCTTATATCTTTTTGTCCTTGAGGTTCCTTACTCTGCAGGTGAAATCATTGTTAGGGGCCCTAAATGTCTGCACAAAGTTAAGCTGTTCTCAGGACACCTTATAGATGAGGAGGCTCAGGAGGGATACAGGGTATAGTTGCTGGCCTGGATATCTCCGTGGTCACACTTCTTATATCCCCTAGATGGCAGCAGTAGACAAGGCTAGATGCTTCCTGAGCTGCAGGTTGGGAACCTTGGCTGGGGAGGGTGCCCATAGCAAACAGCCCTTCCTAATTCACAAATCCAGGCTCTGAGGCCTGGCTTGGCCTTCCACTCCCCATTCTGAGCACACACTGTCTAGGGTTCTGCATTCCACATCTGTCTGTTCAACACTAACCCCTCCTCCAGCTATTTTGGGATCCAGCTGTTGGATTCTGTTCTGGTCAGGGCATGGCCCCTCTGCCTGCCCCGGGCAGCTCCAGGTTGTCTCTGAAGGCTCTATGAGGTTGGAGTCCTGAATGTGGGGATAAAAAAAAAGGCACCTTCTCTTTTCTTCCTCCAGTTGAGATCGCAGCTTCTCTTCCAGCAGGTCGGGCTTGGAAGTCACAGCTATGTTTTCTGAGATGCCTGTGGAAGGGAAAGGCCAAGGGGTTATTTCAACAGGGAAGACTGTAAAGGGAAAAAGAGATACTTAGAGCAGATGACAGAGTCAAAGTGCATCCCAGGATAAAAGGGGACTCTGTGACTTCCCTCTTGGTCTATGGAGGGAACCTGCCTCAGCCTCTTCCTCTGAATGACCCCCCTGCTCCATTGAAAGCCCCGAGGAGGAGAGGTTTTTCTGATTATGCTTTTTTTGTTTGTCCCTCCCGCTCTCCAACATCTGTCGCTGGAAGAATTCTTCTGTACATCTCTGCTAATCTTTCACTGTTGAGTTCACGCATTTACTCTTGCGTCCCCAGGGAAGATGCAAAATAACATTTTCCATCTTCTGATACAGAGCCCCTCACAAACCAAAAAGACATCAGTAAACCTCCTCATGTCTTTCTTTGCACAGTTGAGGTGCTGCATCCTCCAGCCTTGAATCACATCTCCGGGGTTTGACTTCTTTCAAAAGGAGCAGTTCTCCAGGCTGATTAATGGCAGCAATGTCAGCATGCAACATCAGGGCTCAGAACCCAGCTAGAAGCTCTGCCTAGAAGACAGGGCAATAGGACCAAGGCAAGGCCCTGGGGAGGGCTGGGTCCCTCCCAGATGCCCCCAATATGGCATGTCTAGTTGCCAGCTCTGGTGTGGAGCTTGTCTGGAGCCCACACTTTCCTAGCCTGGAGGGTGGATCTGCCTGTCCTCCCATGAGCCTCTTTGTGACTGCGTTGCATTTCTTAGCCTCACAGGTTTCTTAGCCCTGCTTTTACTCCATGTAGGGGAGAATCTACTTTGCAGCAGGTTATTTCTGGAGATAATCAGACTAATGCTTACACTATTCCTTGGAGGCATTATTAGTCCCATGTTGCAGATAAGGGATTTGGGGTTCAAAGAGGTTAACCTGTCCGAGGCCACGTGGATAGCTTCAGGAACCAGGATCCAAATCCAGGCCTGTTTGGCTGCTGGGGCCTTGGATTCAGATATTCCTTCTAGAACATTTCAGGTGGAAGGTCATCTGCCTTCCACCCAAACACCCCCAGTGGAGGGAGGCTTACCACTTTGCATGACTGCACATGGCATTGTGGGCAGCCTGTGTCCTGTGACTTAGAGCCGAGACCTGCCCCACCAACTTCTCTGCTCCTCTGCTTTGGATCTTTGCAGCAACCTCATGGGTTCTCCTTCTTAATCTGATGGTTCTTTAAATATTTTAACAGCAATGACTAACTGCCTCATGTGTCTGAAACTTTCTCTTCCGGCTGACTCTGCCCAATTCCTTCGTCCATCATCTCAGTGCTGTGGATGTTTTCTAACTGACCTTGAGCATAGAGCCTAGATTTGGGCAATATACCCCAGAGAGGGCTGACAGGGGCAGAAGAGCAAAGGGCTCTCGTAATAAAAACTCTTATTTCTATAGCAGATGATTTACCAGCGGTGACTGTTTATTGAGTGCCTTCTTTCAACCAGCTTCTGTAAGGTTCTACGAGGCACTGTGTTAGGTGTTCCACGCATCTTAGTGCTAATTCTCAAAATAGCCCAGCAGGGAAGCCATAACGACTCCTTTCAGTGGGATTCTGAGGCTCAGCAAGGGCCAGAAATAACCCAAGGTCCTGCCCTCATAAGTGGCAGAACTGAGCCCAATTTTTTCAGTTCCAAAGAAAATGTTGATACCGGGCAGCTGCTTCCCCTCACTGTTTCTGGTTTTTAGCAGCTTTGTCACCATCATGGCTATGTCAGCTTGTCACTGGCCTTGACAGAGCTGTGGTCAGTTTAAACACTTCCATTTTCTTTTTGAGTGGTTGTCAAAATGCACCCAATGCCAGCATGAGTGTCTTTTTGATCCCAGATGCAGCACTTCCCATGGGCTGGGGTGTAGCCCCGAGTGGGCCTTGCTCTGCCATGCCTTCATTTGTCCCCCTTAGTGCCCTCACTGATGTGTTCACCCTGCCTTTTAGGTCATTAGCACTAACTCATTGGTAAATGTGCTAATCAGGCCTGGGTTCTGTCCGTTGTCTTCAAGGCACTCATTGCTCTCTCCCTGTGTCAGGTGACAGCTGTCACATGTAAACTGACTGAACAGGTGTCTGGCTCCATCAGGCAATGGACTTCCTCAGACTTCTTCACTGAAAATCACACTGTCAATTAGCCAGACGCCCATCCCTGTCGACCATGCTCTCTGTGCAGGCCCCTGAGGCTCTGGCAGAGGACCTGGTCCCTCTTGTCCTTTGTCTGCCCAGGATGCTTTGCTTGGATGCCAAGTGCAGGGAGTGCACCCTGCAATGGTCCTTGTCCTCTTTAAAAAGTGTCACATGTGATAAAGTGAAGGAAGTACCTGAACATCTAACTGATAACGATAAGGACGTGGAAAAAATAGAATCTTTCTAACAGTTTTAGAAGTGGGCAAATGATCTACCTGTCTGTTCAAAAGAAGAGCTGGAAATCCCCTTCCCCTTAATCTTTTCCTATCCCACACCAGAGAAATACTGAGAAAGTTGGCACAGTCCCTGTTCTGTGCTGCCCTGGGTGGGCATCCTGCAGTGCACACCACCCAGAAGGCCCTGGAAGCACCAGAAGCAGGCCTGCTGGATGCAGGACCTCTAGGATCTGGGGGGAGGGCAAAGGGTGGTGGGGGACTAAAAACTGGCTGGTCTTCTATATCAAAGCTTGAGCAATCCCAGCAGGAGTGCAGAGCCCCTGTGCGGGAGAGGCCTCTTGTCTAGTCCCATTGTGACTGTATTTGCCGGGACATCTTGAACCCTGGCAAAGACAGGTGCCTTGGAAGTGCGTGGGGTCTCCAGGCTCCTCGGGCAAGCATGCTGCATGGAGCTGACACAAGAACAGGAGATGATATCAGCTGCCTTCTGTGGGGCATGTCCATGTCCCACTCATGGTACTGGCTCATTCATTCTTTACCAGAGCTGGCTGGTATTACCTCCATTTTCTAGATAAGGATGCCAAGGCTCAGGGTGAACAGGTGACTTGCAATGCCATAAACCCACAAAGTAGCAGGGCCAGGCTTTGACTCCAAGGCTAGTTGTTCATTCACTTAAGTAGCAAATATTTCTGAGTGTCCACTGTGGTCCACCCCTGTCCCAGGGGCAGTCTGCTGGGGAAGGCAGACATTTAACCAACAAAATCATTGAGTCCATGATATAATGCCAGGGATGAAAATGTGCTATGAGGAAAAAGAAAGCCTGATAAAGGCTGCCGTGTTAGGTAGGGTGCTAAGGGGGCTTCTCTGAGGTGGGGATATTTGACTAGAGACCTGAATGAATAACAAACATGTAGAAATCAAGGTAGAGAGGACACCAGCTTGTGCAAAGGGTCTGAGGTGTGTTTGTCTTGAGAACAGTGAGAAGACCAGTGTGTCTGGTGTAAGAGAGTATGCTGGGAACTGAGACCAGATCAAAAACACCTTGTAGGTTGTGGTAACAATTTGGCTTTGAGAGAGACTGGGGGTCAGAGAGTGTTGAGAAGAGGACTAGCTTGATCTAGCCCTCTGATAGCTAAGCAAAGCAGATTTTTATTTTTATTTTTTTTGCTGATCAAGACAAAGCCACACCAAACTGAAGAATAGTTAAAGTGAGATGGTGCCAAGCTGCTGCAAGTCCACTGAAAGAACCTGGGAAAGAAAGTGGGGCAAAGAACCTTAGGCAGCCAGAAAGAGGGCACCACATGCCCTAAGACACAAACTCTCCCAGTTGTTATGACAACCGAAGGGGCTTCTTGCCAAAGGTGATGTCTGCTTAGTGAAATGCATTGTAACCCCACCAGGAGACAGCCCTTGGCTGCTTCTGATGTTTTTCTGATGCTTGGCTTATCATGCTCTCTGAAGAGAAATAGGGGCTGGGAACTGAAAGCCAATGGAACAAAAGTGACTGAACAAGAACAGAAGAAGAGGGAGTAACTAAAGGGCATGAGGACTTTGTAGGTCTCCATGCCTGCTGGGATGGTGGCCAGGGACAGAGCCTTCAGTCACCTGACAGGAGGCGGAGGAAGTCCTCCTTTCAAGGGCAGGATTCTGGCTGGGAGCAGTGCACAGGAGGTTACAGCCCCGAGAGGCCTATGAGGTCACCCTGTGGATCTGCGCGAAGCGATACAAAAGCAAGAAAAAGGGGTTTCATTCTAGTGGCCGTAGATCTGAATGTCACACAGGAGGAGGCTCTGGGCAGTCAAACAGTAACTGAAACTTGAAGCCAGTGACACTCAATTCCAGGCTGACCTTCCCTCGCAACGTTCAGGTGTTTAGGACTAGAGGCACAAGGACCAGTGGGGTGTGCAGGGAAGGCCAGCCTCCTGCGGTGTCTGCCCTCACCTGGCATGGTTTCGGGGAACTGGAAAGCTCACTATAACTCCTCTTGCCACTTCCCCATGCCCTCTCTGAACACACATATAACACCCCCCTACTGCCACCCCCAAAATCCCTCCTACACAGTTATTCAATGCCTGAAATGTCTCGTTTCTTTGGCTCATTTGCTCTTAAATGGGGGTGCACGTGAGACTCACTTAAGGAACTTATGAAAACACAGAGACAGCTGGTCCCTCCTCCAGACCCACTGAGTTAGGATTTGCTGGTAGGTTCCCTGGTGATTCTGACACTCACCTCTTGTTGAGAAACACTCACCACTTAAGATTTTGACCATAGAGGGCTTCCCTGGTGGCGCAAGGGGTTAGGATGCAACCTATGAAACTATCTGCAGCCACTGAAGTATGAGTTCAATCCCCAGCCAGGGAGCTACCCACATGGCACAGCAGACCTCTCCTAACTCATCCACTGCTCCCCTCAGCAGTGTATTTTGGTCAATCTGCCTGTTCTATTCCCCACTCTGTCTCTGGTGAATCCTTTCATCCCCCCACATCTCTGGCCTGTACCCCAGTTCTTGTATGCATAAATAAAAAAATCTTTAAAAAAAAAGATTTTGACTCCAGTCTTTTTTTTTTTTAAAGGAATTTTTTTTTTTTTAAGGATTTATTTATTCAAGCACTGG